AAAATAGAATGCATAAACAAGAAAATTTCCAATTTATTCACTGGGAAATTCTATTCCAGGTCAAATTCGTTTTCGTTCGTTCGTTTGTCAACCATCATGTAATTCTTTACCCAAAAAAAGAGAATATTCTCTGATTGCACAGAACTCACTTATTGGATTCTCTCTCTCTCTTTGTGTTTGTTTGCTTTGAAATGAAACAAAAATATGAAATTTGATATCCGAAACAAAACAAAACAGAAAAAAAATGAAATTTTTTTCTTGTTTCATTTAAAATTCTGCTGATGAACAACAATTTTCATTCGGTTTTCATTTATTTGCTTTCTGCTTTTCTCATTTTCAAGAATTCTTTTTTGTTTTGTTTTCTCCTTTTTGTAAAATGATGTTCCAGTTTTCCTCTGGTGTATTGTCTTACCACAACAACAACAACAACAACAACAGAGAAACCAAACCAAACGAAAAATGTTGACAGTTACAGTTGATGATGATGATGGAAAAAACGAAATTGACGAAAAAACAACATTATTATGGATGAACAAATTTCCCCCCCCCCAAAAAAAACCAAAAAATGGTTAAATTTTATTGTTTGTTTTCAAATCTGGAGAAAAGGAATTTTGTTTTCATTTCGTTTTTCTTTCATCAATTCCGGATTTATTTATTAAAAACGATCCAAAATCGATCAAATTCTTAGGGGGTTTTCCTTCTCTTTGTTGTTGTTGTCGTTGATTGTTGTTGTTGTTGTTGTTGGTTGGTTGATTGGATATGTCACAACAACAACAACAACAACGAGAAAGAATTGAAAACAAAAAAAAATTGATGAAAAAAAGTTTTTTTTACAGAAAAAAAAATTGTTCATTTGTGCATGTGGATGTTTCCATTTCTTAAAACTTTTCCAGTGACAACAGCAAACCATTTTAGTCAAAATAGTTGTGTTTTGGCTGTTTTAAAAAAAGTGTGAAAAAAGAATCTTCTTTTCTCATTTGAAACAACTCGACCACCACCACCACCCCACTGAAATGAAGGAAGGAAATATGAAAATTGAAACGACAGTTTCAGAAAGCCAGGCAGCCAGCAAAAAAAAACTTAAAAACTTTTCAATTTAATTTTATATTTTTTCAAAGAAGAAAAATAAAAAAAACGTTTGATATTAACAAAACCCAAAAGAAGAAGAAAAAAAGAATGCTAACCTAAGATAAATTTTTAGCTTATCATATTCGAATGTATGTCATGTCTATTTCTACCTTGATTGGTTAAAAATAGCAACCGTAAGGAAAGAAAAAAACTGAATTTTTGATCAATTTTTTTTTCATGATCGATTTTTGATTCTGCTGTTCACATTATTATCATTATTTTTTTGAGAATAAAAAAATATAGAAAATTCAATTTCCTTCTGTTCATTTGTCAACATTCGCGATGGAAATGAGAAAAAAAAAAATTGAATTTTCATTTTTTCATTTTCGTCAATAATTTCCATATGACTTTCATGGATAATGTTGGTGGTGGTGGCAATGATGATGATGATGATAATGGTGACCTTCGTTCTATTTCAGAATCTTGAATGAAAAATTCGATTATTCACTGAAATTCTGTCTTTGCTGTCTACGATTCTTGTTTTTCATCATGAAATTTATGAATGAAAAAAGCCAAAATTGCTCAGATTCTGAAACTTTTCTGGGTAAATTCTGGTATTTTTATTTCATTCAGTTTCTATTTCCACTCTCCTATTTGCACCCCCTTCGAAAAGAAAAAACTATTTCCACCGTCACCGTTTCGGGTTTGAGTGAGCAACCAACAACAAGAAGAAAAAAAATTACTCTATTTTTTTCATATTTTTCGCTCGAATAATTTTTCATAAGAAAAAAAATAAAAATAATGATAATGATGATGATTGCTATATTGGATCCGGATTCATTTCTTGGATCGTAACCAACCAACAACAACAACAACAAAAGCGAGCAAAACCATAAAGAAATTGCAATAATAATAATAATAAGCAAACCGCCAAATAAGCAAAGCAAAAAATCTTATAATTAGAAAGCTTAAGAAGTGAAGAAGAAGAAGAAAATGAAATGAACGCCCTTCAAAAAACCCAAAAAAACCAAAATCTTTTTGGTTTTTTTCGGGTTTGAATGGCAAAATTATTATTAAGCAAGAAAGTTTCTGTTTAATCGACCGTATTTTTTCTTCTTCGTTTTTGTTTTTGTTTTGTCATTCACAAGATTACTGTTGTTGTTGATGTTTTTTTGGCTATTGGCTTTTCTTCATTTTTAAATAGTCAGTGTTTCTTTATAGCTTTACCAATATTTTCAAATATATTTATATACGGAAGCCATAAAAAACAACATAATATTTTTGTTTGTTTGATGAAATGAATGATTAAAGTGATTTTTTATTTCTTTTTCCCCTTTTCTCTCTTTTGTATGTTTAGGTGGACAATAAATATTAATGAATGAATGTTGAGAGAGAGAGAGTGGGATGTCTATGGAATGTTTATTTATGGTGGGGGAATGGTGGCGGTGGTGGTGGTGGACTAGAATGAATGAATGAATTGATTAGAATATTGTCAAGTTTGGATTTTCAAAAATTGAATTTGAATTCCTTGATTTCCTTGATTTTCTTTTGTTCACTTTGATCTTTTTTTTCTTTCAAATATCCATTTTTCTCTTTTCGGTGAATGTCTTTCGTTGAAAGGAAAGAGAAAAAGACATTAAACAAATTGAAAAATTTTAAAAACAAACAAAAAAAAAATTGTTTCAAAATGATAATTTTGATTTCGGGAATTTTCCTTGGAATCGATATATTTTTTTTAATGTCATTTTTTTCATTATATTGATTGATTGATTGATTGATCAATCGTTATAACGAGATAAATTTGGAAAATTCCTGGAAATATTCCTGGAATCAATTTTTTTCCTTGGAAATTTTCTCTATTCGTTTGCTTGAAAAAAAATAATTGAATTCTCAAATATTTTTTTTTTCTTTCTTCAAACAAATAATTTTCAACAAACCTAACAAAGTGTTAAAAAAATTATTATTATTTTTATTATTATAATCAACATTTTTTTTTTCAATTTCATTTTCAATTATTTCAAATTCAAAAAAGAAGAAGAAGAAGAGAAAATCTTATTATTCTTTGAAGAATATTCCGCGAATATTCAATCCAATCAAATCGAGAGAGAGAGATAGAAGAAAGGAAAAATTGATGAAATTCTTGAGGATAGTAGTAGTGTGATTTGGTGGTGATTAGTGTTTGATGTGATTCTCAATGGAATTTTTTTTTACTTTGATCAAAAAAAAAAATTATTCAAATGGAAAAAAAATGTTTAAAGTGTGTTGGTGTTTGTGCTTGCGACTGGTGATGATTTTCAATTTTCCATCATCATCATCATCCGAATAGAATATTCTATTTGATGATGATGATGATGACATTGGCGGCTTTGTAATTGAAGAATTTACATATAAAATTTCATTTTTTTTTTGCTTTTCAAACAAATCATTTTCGTTTGGAAGTAAGAGAGAGAGAGAGAGAGAGAAACCAAATCTAAATAATAATGATGATTATATAAGAAAAGAAAGAAAGGAAAAAAATTGGTTAAAAAGTTTTACTTGTTTTGCACTAGATTCTTCTGTCTGCTGTATTGTAGATTCTGTTTAAAGATGTTCGGTTGTTGTTTTGGAAATTGTTTTTGGCAGGCAAAAAAAATAAATAAATGACAGAACAACAACCAAACAACGAACAATTTAAATTAAGGATCCATTCATTCCATTCCATTCTTCTTCTTTTTTCCATCGGGATTTTTTCCAAAACGGGAAAAATCTTCTTTACTTTACTTTGAGTCGGTTATTATTATTATATAATGAAAATGTCAAACAATTCTTTAACCGTTTTTTCCCTTCTTTTTAAAGAAAAAAATTTTATGAAAAAATCTGATTTTCTTGCACTGGTTACGTTGTTTGTGAATTTTTTTCTCACTTATTCATAAAATGATTGATGATTAATTTGATTTTAATTTCTTTGAATTTTCTTTCTTCCTTTCTATTTTTTTATGTTTCAAACGTGTCAAAATGAATTTTTGAACGAAAAAAAACGACGACGACGACAACATTATGCTTTTATCTTTTTCGTTCGCTTGTTCGTTCATTCATTCATTCATTCATTCATTCAAGATGAGATACATGAAAATTGAAGAAAAACATTATTATTACATTGTAAGGCAATGTTTTGTGATTATAACATTGAACAACAACAACAACAACGGCGACGAAATCAGCACCAAAATTTCAAACAACAACAACAACAAAGAAATCCCGAACAACAACAACAACAGAATCAATTTTGGTATAAACGTCGTAAACAAACAAAATCAACGACAGAATCTTTGTCAACATCTACGAATGTAACGATAGAAAAAGTTTCTTCTTCTTTTTTTCCAATAATAATCATCAATAACAGCATCGGTGATGATGATAGCATCAACAAAAGAAATTCATGTTTATCATTTACATTGTTACCAATTTTACTATCACTATTATTATCATCATTGATAAAAGAAAATTTTTATAAAAAAACGATAATTTTATCTACAAAATGCAAATTAAAACCTTGTTATCACTACCATCATTACCATTATCATCATCAAACGAAGCCGAAGAAACATCAGCCACCATTATCGTTATTTGTGAAGCCAAAATTTGTCAATATTTTAATGAAATTTCACAGGTGCAAATCTTCTTTAACAACCACGACAACAGCAATTTACCTATCAATATTCATACAAAATCTTTTAATAATAATCATTATAAATCAAAAATTATATTTACAAAAACAAGAAAAAGAAAATGGAAAAATATTTCAAGGAAATCAATTTATAGACAATCATCAACGATATCGAAGGCATCGAATTATAAAATCATTGAAACAATGGATAAAAATGACGATAATAAAGCAATTTTGGTTGTTTTTTTGCCAAATATTTCCCATAATGATAATGATGAGAAATTTTCCGAAAATAAAAAAGAAATTTCCACGGAAATTTTTGTTTATAATTTTAAATTTTTTATTATTAATACGGCCAACATTATCATTATCAAATACAACGACTACGACTACGACTACGATGACATCTTTAACGTCTTCATTATCACCACCATTATCGCCAACATCATCGTTTCCATTACAAGAAGAATTTTCGATATCATATTTCAAATCATCATCATCATCAGCAACGACTATATCAACAGCAGCAGCAGCAACAGCGACAACAACAACTATATCAACATTACCGATAAAATTACCACCACCGCAACCACTATTTCAACAGAAATTACAACAAGATACTGTTGCTGCTGCTGATAATGATGATAATTATCATCAACATTATTCAGTTATTCGTAATGTCCATTCATATATACCATCATCAGCGTCATCATCATATAATAATCATCGATCAAAAACATTATATATAGCGGGATTTTTTCCAACATCAAAAGATATACCACAAGGTGCAATTGGTCGTGGTGTATTACCGGCAGTACGTTTAGCACTGCAACATGTAAATGAAAGTCCATTATTTACAAAATATCGTTTAGATCTTGTTTGGAATAATACCAAGGTAATGGGTTTTTAAAAAAAGGTTGCATGGATTTTTTTTCAATTTTCAATATGAAAACAAGGATTTTTCTTGTCCTGCTTCTGTTAATTTCACTATTTTCATTGCATTTATTTGTTTTTCCACACACACACATTTTATCAATGTTTCTGTTGTACAAATTCACCATTCAATATATAAAAACAAAAACAAAAACAAAATTGCGATTAGAATATCATCATCATCATCAACAACAACAACAACAAAATCATCGTGATCAAAATGTTAATTATACAATGTATTTTACATTATTGTCCATTCCTATACCTAAATCGATGATTATCATTTCGTCCTTCTTGTCATTTGTCGTTGTTTGTTTGTTTGTTTCCATTTGGATTTCTTCAATCGTTCGTTGAAAAAAAAAACATTTTCTCTATCAATCCAATACTCATTTGGTCAATTCGATATATTCGGTGTGCATTGAATTTGAGATTTTTTCTTCTTCTTCTTCTCTTTTCCTCCTATCTCTCTCTCTCGATTACCTCCACCACTATTTCTCTCCTTGGTTTTTACCCTGAAAACCATATCCAAAATCGTAATTATTTGAAATAATAATGATCATCATCATCATCGATAAGGCTAATTTCATTAATTTTATCAGGATTGCTTTCTATTTCACTCAAGAAAAAAAAACGTTTATTTATTCCATCATTTTAGTTTCCGATTTAGTTGATGCAATCAAATTATTCTGCCATTCTGAGATTCTTAATCTTTGCTTTTCGAATAGTGGACACAACAAACAACAACAACAACAAAGCAACAACAACATTGAAAAAAATGCCTCAAGTCTATAATCATCAATTTGGGCTTCACTGCATTGCATTTTTCGGAAAAAAAATTTTCATAAACTTTTTTTTTTACTGAAAAGTTTCTCACTTTTTTTTCTAAAAAAAATTCGAGTGGACAAATAATAATGACCATCATTATCATCATTTTGAAAGTGTTTTTTTGTTGTTGTTGTTTTCCGTAAAAATTATGTAAAATTGAAACAATGAATGTTTTTTCTTTTAACAGGAAACAAAACTGAAATTGAAACTTTTTTCTCTCTATATTCCAAGCCATTTCCATTGTTGTTGTTGTTGTTGCTTTAATTTGTAATTTGTTGTTGTTGTCGCCGTTGTTGTTGTTGTTGTTGTTGTCTGGCTAATTATGATGACAATCATTGATATGATATGGTGTGTGTGTGTGTGTAAAAGTAATTTGAAACAGCAGTTGTTATGTGTGTCCAACTAATTTTATCTATCTATCTATAGATGTGTTTCTGGTCCGTGTTGCTGTTGTTTTTTTTCTTCTTCTGCAGATTTTGAAGTTTGGCTAATTTTTCAATGGACCAAAATTTCCATAAAAACTATGGCGGTGAAAGAAAGAAAAAAAAACAAAACAAAACAAAATCTGTATTTTTTTTCTTTGATTTGTTGTTGTTGTTGTGGTTTTTTTTAGTTGTTTATTAAACAAACTTTTCTCTCTCTCTCTCTCTTGCCGACATGTTTCTGGTTTTTTTTCCTGTTCCATCATCTTTGGCTGCATAGTTTGTTTTTTTATCTGCTACCGCTATTAAGTTAGAATCCTGTATATGAATTACCCATATATGTGTGTGTACAATATTTAAATGACATGTTATCAAACAAACAAAACAGAGAAAACAAAAACTAATGATAATAACTTGATTATCAAATGCACACACCAAAACCACCATTTTACACGATGAAACAGAATTTGTGGATGATTGCCTTACNGACGAAACCTTTATTATCAATCAAATTAAATTATTTTGTTAAAAGAACACTGAGTCAAGAGGGAGTGTTGAAAGATGACTCAGTGCTCTCACACTAGGGTGAGCTGAGCTCGCCTATTTTGTATTGTATAAATTCGATCTTAAATTAATAAATAGTATCAGTTGTTTTGATCGATTGACAGTTAGAATCCTGTATATGAATTACCCATATATGTGTGTGTACAATATTTAAATGACATGTTATCAAGCAAAACAGAGAGAAAAAAACAAAACAAAAAAAAACAAAACAGAGAAAACAAAAACTAATGATAATAACTTGATTATCAAATGCACACACCAAAACCACCATTTTACACGATGAAACAGAATTTGTGGATGATTGCCTTACATTATACTGTATACATAATTGTCCATCATCATCATAATCATTATGGTGATCATAATATTCAGACTGACCGACAGACAGACAATATCAAACACACTATCATTATTATGTCAGCAGTGTGTATTGAGTGGGGAAAAAACATTCACAGAAGCAGGATTTTTTGAGAAAAAATCGTATTTTTTCATTTGAAAAAAAAACGAAGAAGAAAATTTAAAATCAAATCATCGATATGACTTTATTTTTGTTGTTGTTGTTGTTGAATTTTCAGTTACAACAACAACAACAACAAAAATGTTAACCCAATTATAATTGGGAAAATATGTTTTTTTGAATTGCAAGGGAAAAGCAAACGATAGATAGATAGATTCCTATATTTTTCTTTCTTCTTCATTTGATTATTACATTATAACGTTTCTCTCTATTTCATCTACATTACAACATTGATTGATTGCCATCACGTTCCTCTCTCTCTCTCTCTCTAACCAAAAAAATTATTCTCATTTGACCAGAATTTCATAGAAATGTACATAGCATAATAATGATCATGATCTATTTTTATCTATCTGTGTTTTTTTTTTTGATCGGATCAATTTGTTTTCAACCGAAAAATTATATATCAAAAAAAATACGATTCCTAAACTAATGATTGAAAATTGATAATAATAAACAACAAAATTCAAATTGAATTCAAACTACTACTACTACTACTAATAATTTAGTCATTACTTACTAATTTGCTTCTACTACTAAATTATTATTTTTTTTTTATTTTGGCTTCCTTTCAAGTACAAATAGCTTATTTTCAACCAAATAAGATATTTTCTTCTTTCATCATCATCATTATTTCATTTCTTTTGGGTTATAAGAATAATTCAAATGCAGAGAAAAGAGAGAGATAAAAATAACATAAGAAACACACACACTACCATCATAATATCCACAAAGATTTTTTTTTTGGGTATCGAAATTATTCCATTTTCATTCTCGTTGTTTTAGTAATGACGAATTTACTTTCCATCATCATCATCATCATCGGGGTAATCATAATTCTGCATTTAATTATACATTCATCTCTCTCTCTCTCTCTCTCTCTCTCTCTCTCTTGGCCATCATCTTTCTCCTGAAAGAATATTCTTTTATTCTGTCGAACTAACTAACTAACTGACACACACACACAAACCCTCATACAACATTTATATAATACGTTTTTTTGTTTGAACATAGAAACTTGACGTTATTTTTCCCGTTTCTCTCTCTTTATTATTTTCACTATTGTTTCATTTCTTTTCTTTTCGGTTTTTCACTATCAAGAAAATCAAGCTTAGCCCAATATTCATTCATTGAATCGAATAATATATATCTGGTATTTAGAAAACAAAGTGAGAAAGAGAAAGTCAAAGAAACAAAAAATATGGTCTTTATTCTGGAATAAATGAATGAATGAATGAAACAACAGCAGTGGAAAATGGTAGAAAAAAAAAGCTAACCGAATATAATAATAATCAGAAAAAAAAAATAACAAATGATGATCTGAAATGTAGCATCCTATCATCATCAACTATGTATGTTTTGTGTATGATTGTTGCTGATTTTGGCATTATCTCGGTGTATTATATTCATCATCATCATCATCATAATTCACATTGTCACCATTTGTTTCTATCATATTTGATTAGAAAAATAGTTATAGTAGTAAGTAACTACTAGTTTTTTGACTAGTTTTTTTTTTGACAATTCCGGAAACAACTATGAATTTAATCTTAGTAATGAGAACAATGTCAAACAATGCAAACTGTGACAAAAAATCTTTTTTATTCTGTAAGCCTGATTAATGATGATGATGATGATGATGATGATGATGATGATGATGATGATGATTGGCGATGTTATCAAAGATGTAACCAAAAACAACCGTTGACAACCAAACAAAACAAAAAATGAAATGTAATATGAAAAAAAAGAAAAGAAAAGTTGAACAAAATTTAAATGAAAAAATTTTTTCTGGTTTTGGTTGTTCGTGTGGCGAACATTATTTATTTTTGCATCATCATTTCTCTCTCTCTCTCTCTCTCTCTCTCTCTCTCTCTCTCTTCGGGTTTTCTATTGCCTCACTTTGATTTATGTTTCAATTTAGTGTTAACAAAATGACACTAATGGGGGAAAAAAAGGGAAAGATAATGTTTGTTTGTGTGNTTCATTCATTGAATCGAATAATATATATCTGGTATTTAGAATAGAGAGAGAGAGAGAGAGAGTCAAAGAAACAAAAAATATGGTCTTTATTCTGGAATAAATGAATGAATGAATGAAACAACAGCAGTGGAAAATGGTAGAAAAAAAAGCTAACCGAGAATAATAATGATAATCAGAAGAAAAAATAACAAATGATGATCTGAAATGTAGCATCCTATCATCCTATTAACTATGTATGCTGGGATGATTGCTGATTTTGGCATTTTCTTCGGTGTATTATATTCATCATCATAATTCACATTGTCACCATTTGTCTCTATCCAATAATCGCATTTGATTAGAAAAATAGTATAGTAGTAAGAAAAAACTAGTTTTTTTTGCGACTAGTTTTTTTTCAATTCCGGAAACAACTATGAATTTAGTAATTTTAGTAATGAAGTGAAACTGTGACAAAAATCTTTTTTATTCTGTAAGCCTGATTAATGATGATGATGATGATGATTGGTGATGTTATCAAAGATGTAACCGAAAAAAAAGAATGACTACAATACAATAAAAAAAACAACCGTTGACAACCAAACAAAACAAACCAAAAAATGAAATGTAATATGAAAAAAAGAAGTTGAACAAAATTTAAATGAAAAATTTTTTCGTTTTCGGTTGTTCGTGTGGTGAACATTATTTATTTTTGCATCATCATTTCTCTCTCTCTCTCTCTCTCTTCGGGTTTTCTATTGCCTCACTTTGATTTATGTTTCAATTTAGTGTTAACAAAATGACACTAATGGGGGAAAAAAAGGGAAAGATAATGTTTGTTTGTGTGTGTGTGTGTGTTAAAATTGTTCCAATCAATTTCCAAACAAACGAAAAAAAATCCAATTCAATTCAATTTCAAAATAACAATAAATTTTAATCAAACACGAAGTGAATCTATTTTTAACCCCGAAACAACAACAACAACAACAAAATTTGGAAAAGCAAGGCAAACTTTCTCTCTCTCTCTCTTCGATAAAACGTATCGATGATGATTCTTTATTCCATTTTCAATCATTGATCGATTTTGCTATTTTTCTATTTTTCAAATTTATTCAATTTGTCAATTTTTTCCCAAACAACAACAACAACAACAAAAAGTTTGATTTCATTTCATTTTATTCAGTTTATCAACGAAATTATTCACTTTTTTTAACTTTTTGTTTTTTTTCTCGAAAGATGAAGTGTTTAGTTGTTTATATGCAAATGCCAATGGCATCAAGGAAGGAACAAAAAAAATCGATGATAAAATTCAATTTTTCAATTTTTCAAAAAAAAAAAAAAAATTCTTGAAAATCCTATAGGTTTATTGTTGTCATTGGTTTGTTTTGTTGTCAAATCGATTTTTTTTTTTTTTTTTGTTCTTCGATTATTGGCTGATAAAGAAAAAAAGGAAATTTAAAAAAAAGGAAAATTTCCCGGGGAATTATTATTGTCAGTGTTTTCATTGGTTTATTGCCGGGAAAAATTTCCTGTGTAAAAAAAATGAAGCAAAAAAGTTTCTTGTAATTCAAATTTCATATTGGATTCTTTTTTGGTATTTCTGATTGCAATTTCCTGCCAGAAAATTTTGTTTCAAATTCAATTTTGACTTTGACTTATTTAACCATCGACTACCAGCCAACCCATTCACCCACGCACCATTATTTACAGTGGTGGTGGTGGTTTATTTGATTGATTATCATACGTTTCTTTGGAGAATCTATCCATTTTTATAATATAATTTTCTCACTTGCTTGCTTGCCTGGTTGAATGATTTATGATGATCATGATCATCATAAATGAGGGGAATGAATCGATGAATATGAAATTTTTCTTTGGAAAATTTTTTTTGTAAAAATTTTTCATTTTTTGTTGTTGTTGGTCGTTGGCTCCATATTAGAGATCGATTTGATTTGATTTGATTTTCGCTGTTAAGATTAATGAAATTTTTTTGGTTGCTGAGAAATTTCCCGTAAATTTTTTTTTGTTTCAAATTAATTATATCGTACGAAAATTTGTCGAAAGAAACAATTTCCTTTTCTTGAATAACTAATGATATTTATTTTTTTTTTTTTAAACTGATTGAATTTGAATTTGCTTTGTTTGGCCTACAAATTGATTAACAAAACAAACAATTGCAAACATTTCTCCACTGACTGATCAATTACGCACGCAATAAGATGATTTTCAATCTTTTCTTTTTTTCATTCAAAAAAAAACCTTGTAATCAATTCAACTGATGTAGCAATTTTCTAAATTAAATTCATTCGATTTCAAACAACGAAAAAAAAATCTGATTTTAAATTCAAATTCAAACGAACGTAAAAAGGAAAAAAAACAAGAATCGATTAGAGCGCCATTTCTTGGCCCTGGTGGCCAGCAATTTGTCCCGAAAAAAAATAAAAGAAAGATTTATTTTCCAACCAAGCATCACCAATTGCTTTATACCAGTAATTTAATATTCGAACCAGCAACATTTTTTTTTCTGTTTTTCATTATTCGATGTCGATGCCAGAAAGAAAAAAATTTCAGAAAAAAAATTTTACAAAATCATATTTGGCCTATTGTGAAGAACACCAACGGCAGTAATGATGATGATGATGAAAATAAATTGATTAGGCCAAAAGGCTAATTGTATGTGCTGTGTGTGTGTTTGCGAGGATGTCATAGGCAGAATTTGATTTTTGTTGTTGTTGTTTTGTTTGCCAAAAGTTTTTCAACAGCAACAACAACAGCGAAAAATGAATGGAAAAGAATTTTTCGGCTGTAAAAGGAGATAGCGAGCGAGCGAGAGAAAAACTCGAATAAATCATTTTCTTCGTCGTTTGGTAAAAGAAGAAGAATTTTTCTTTATTTTCATGAAAATTACACAATCACAACAACAACAACAATGACGACTATAATAACACCAACGACAAAACAATTGATAAAGGAAAAAACAAAACTAGAAAATGAATGTCGAAATAGAATCGAAAGAAGAAAAAGTGAAGAAAAAAATCCATTAAGAAATTCTTTGCTCATTTTTTTTTGTGGGGCTCATTCTTTTTCAATTACGATACACAAACACAAACATAATTTTCTTTGGTTTAGATTCTTGGATTCTGTGCCGGTTCTTGGTTGCTTGATGATGACATTTTTTCTGTGAAAAAAACTTTGATTTTTTCAATTTCATTTGACATCATCATCATCATCGTCTTCGTCATCTCTCTCTCTCTCTCTCTGCCTCTGTCTCTCTGAATTAAATTTGATTCAATTTCCTAATGAATTTCGCTTTGTCGTTTAAGGAATTTTTATTTTTTAAAATCACTTAAAGGGAAAAATGAACGAAAGGAAAAAGCAAAGAATCGAAGCGAAAACCAACCAGAAAATATGACCTGACAAAAGTTTAATTGATTTTTCATATGGTCCATTGATTGATTGATTGATGGTCAATCAAAAAATGTAAAAAAAAAGAGAAGACGAAACAAAACAAAATTCTTGAATCAATGAGAGCTTAGAGAGCTTCAAATCGATTATAATCGATTTTTTTTTCATTCGATAGAATCCCAAATGAAAAACGAAAGGAAAATCGATTCTTTTTTCGGTTGTTTACTTGATCTTCACGATTTCTTCTTCCCCAGAAAACTTTTCAATCGTAATTCGAAATTGTCATCATCATCAGATAATCATCAGCATCGCATTGATGTTTTGAAAGTTTTTTTCTGTTGGTTGAGAATTCGTGAAAGAAGAAAAAATCATGATTATTCTTGATCGTGTGTGTACTTAAATCATTTCACAATCAACATCAACCAATTTTCAAGATTCTCTTCTTGGATTCTACTGCTTTGTTTGTTTGTCATCAAACATCAAGTTTTAGAAATAAACACTTAACACATACACACACGTACATTTGATCATCAATTTTTTGGACATTTATTTAATCATTTAATTATCAGATCAAAAAAGTTTTTTTTTCGTTTCTTTTTCTCCAATGGGGGAAAATAGAGGGTGGAAATAGTTTGTTTTTGTAGGCTATTTTGATCCATGCATGATTTTTTTTGCCTTTTCTTTTGATAAAACCACCGTCATATTTTGGATTTTAATTGTCCATAAATTTTAAGTTAATCATTGAGTCCAATGTTGTTGTTTGTTTGTTTGTTGCAAACAAGCAATTTTGATAAAATACAGATGCATTGGACTCGATGACTGGCTTTCAATTTGTGAAAATATTTATTTATTTTAATGACAAATCAATCAACGAATTTCCTTCCTTTGACATTTCATTTATTCTGCTGATGAACATTTCCACCTTTTTTTCTAGCTGAAATTCTAGGTTCATTGAGGAAAAAGTTTCCCAGATTTTTTGACGTAAAACTTCAGAAACTTTTCTGACTTTTTATGTCAATTAAAAAACAGCCAAAGAAACAGAGAAAAAAAACATGACAATCAACTTCCAGTTTTTGTTTGTTTGTTTGCATCTTATCTGAATAAACTTTTCATAAGTTTTTTTTTGTTGTTAGATTTTCCGAAACTATTTCCACCCACCGATCACTGGAATTCTGAAACTTTTACTTTGTTACTTAGTTATTCTTCACAATCAAACTTATATAATTTTGGGTTGCTTGTTTTTTTTTTGAATAATTTTTTCTTTTTCGTTTTTGTTTTGTTTTGTCTTCAACTAGTGTGATGCTGCATATGGAATGAAAGCATTTTTTCAGATGTTAGATGAAGATCCAGTAAAAATTTTATTATTTGGTGGTGCATGTCCATCGGTTACCGATCCAATTGCAAAAACATCCAAATTTTTTCATCTAATTCAGGTAAGTTTTTTTTGCGAAACATTTTTTCCCGGGAAATTTTCTCATCCAAACCTTCTCTTTTCCGTAATAAAGTTATCATATGCTGATACATTCACTGCCACAACTGCCAATTTTTTTCGTATTGTTCCAAGTGAAGGTTCATTTAATCCGGGTAAGTTGTTTAAAAATTTAAAAATTTTTAAAATTTTAAAACATTTTTTTTCTCTCTTTCTTCAAAAAATTCTGACATTTTAAAATGGTTGTTTCAAATTAAAATGGTTGTTTCACTTTGTGCTTTCTGTGTCTTCTCTCTGTCTTCTGTCTGTCTAAATGTTTCTGAAACATTTCTGACATTTTAAATCCTTTCTTTCCATTTGTGTGTTTGTGTTCTGTGCTGTGCTGTGCTGTGCTATATTCAACAACAACAACAACAAATTCTTTACCACCAATCAACCGTTTGTGTGTGTTTCAAAAACAAAAAACGACAATTAAAAACTAATGTTTCGATGGGGGGAAAAAAATCGACATTTCATTCGAATGTTGTGAACATTTTTTTTTGTTTCTCATGTTTTTCTATATGTTTTTCATGATGATGATGACAGCACGTGTCAAATTATTAAAATATTTCAATTGGACCAAAGTTGGAACTATTTATCAAAATTTGCCTCGTTACAGTCTGGTAAGTTTTTTTTGTTGTTCTTTTTTCCCCTATATTCCTTGTAGATGTTTTTTCAATGGTTGTCATTTTTTTTTCTGCATTTTATTTCCAAACATCCTCATCGCCATAATCATTATTAGTATTACGAATGTTTTGACAGGTTTTAAAACTCTTTATTTCTGGTAAAAAAGCCTATCATTATAGGGAAATGTTTTACTTTTCACTCTTTTCGTATAATTCTCTTATTCAAATTGAAATGGAAATTGATACATTGCTTACACTTTTTTTTCGGTTGTTTTACTGAATAAATGTTGAGAGAATTCAATCAGCTTTTCTCATTCATTCATTCATTTCATTCAATAAATTGAATGCGTGTCTGAAAATGATGAAACAGATGTTTTGTTATCACCAAAAAGTCATAATGAAAAATATCTTTTTTTGTGAACATCACATGTTTTTTTTTAATACTCGTTCGTTATATTCGTTCGTTCGTTTTTTATTTGCATATAATTTTATCAATCAATATTTATTCTAGTAATTAAAATATGGATTCAAATGAAAAAAAGTCACCAAAGAAAATGTCGAAATCTAATAAGTTTTTTTTTGCTCAATTCATTGATGATCATCTAATTGGCAATTTTCTCATTTCGACGACTATTTCGACTGTTGTTTAGTTTTTCTCATTTGATAATTTATTTTGTCCCCTGGAATTCATTCAATTCAATTGATCGATTATTGACCCTCCAAAATACACTGAAGAAGAAATACACTGTGTCTGTGTCTGTGTTTATCTAGTGTTTTCTCCCCCCATTCAAAATTGTTTACCAAAATAATTATTCTGTGTGTGTTTGATTGTCGACGATGGTAATGGTTTTTCTTTTTTTAAAAAATTCTTGTCAGAAATTTCAAGACTTTAAAAAAATGAACAAAAAAAAAATAATCGATTGCCATCATCGATAAATTCGTCCATTACTATCATTACCATCATCATCATCATCATCATCATCATTCATATCCTTATCCTTATATCCTTTATATGAACATTCATTTTTCAAATGAAAAATATGTGTGTGTATTTTGAGCTTAGCCAAAGGAATTTCCTCTTTTCTTTTGTTGTTGTTGTTGTTGTTGTTATCATTATTATTATTATTATTGTTGTTGTTGTTGTTGATCATTTAAAGGCCAAGAATTTCATAAACAACAACAACAACAAAACATTCTTACAGAACGATCATCATCATCATCAATTCAATATTTGTAAGGAAAACAAAATAGTAGAATTTTCCTAACACCAAAAATTTCCTTTTTTTTCGGTTTCATTTCGTTGAACAAGCAGAAAAAATAACAGAATTGATCGAAAAAACTTGAAATGAATGGAAAGCTACTTTTCAAGACCGGACTTAACACACACAGACACTAAAGTGGCTTTTCTTTTTCTTTTCTTTCTCGATTTTCTTTTATCTTTTTCTCATTTCATTCACTAAGATGTTTTGATGATGTGTGTTATGTGAATGTGTGTGTGTGCAGAGGATTCTCTTCGTCTTCATCTCAGGATGTGAAACATTTACACTGTGTTGTTTTTTGTTCAGTTTAGTTTAGTTTAGTTTTTTGCTGACCAAAGTAATCGAGAGAGAGAGATATCGAGATATTTTCTGTTTCTATTTCTGTTTTTCTCACTCCAAAGCTATCAATTTTATTATTGGTTGGTGTTATCCCCCTGAAGAAAGAAAAGAATCTTACACTACTTACACTAAACGCATATTCTTTCTTTGCTGTTGTTGTTGTTGATACTATGATATCCGTATCCTGAAATGTTTATTTCGTTTTTTTTCAAGTCAAACATTTTTTTTTATAAAAAGAAAGACCTGATGGGAAGTAAAAACTCGTACGTAACACAATTTATGAATGGAAACTTTTGTTTGATGTTTTGATTTATTTTTTTTGTTGTTGAATTCTTTCTTTCTCTCTATATGACGTCCCATATCATTTGATTTCGATTTTGATTTCGATTTTGATTTCGATTTTTGTTGTTGTTGTTGCTGGATTCGTTATCATCAACATCATTAATAATAATAATGGAAAAAATCTATATTTACAAATGTATGAATTTTATTTTACACATTTGGGTAGAAATAGAAATGATAAGCAACTATTTACACACAACAATTTAAAGAAGAAGAAAAAAAAACACAAATCAAACATCAAAATGTGTAAAGTCAATTTTTTGAGGTTTCTGGCTAGCCGGCCAATTTCCAGCAAAAAAAGAATCCAGAATCCAGAATCTAGTTTTGTTGTTGTTGTTTATTCACAGCTTGAAAATATAAGAAAAAAACTTTTGCTTTTTCCAATCTGGTTGATCGACCCATACATTTATTTTTTGCTCTACAGAGATTTATCATTTGGGTTTCTTGGCCCGAAACAAAACTTTTTTACCAAAAAAGTTCCAAAAAGATGAAAATGTTCATACTACAATGGACAGAATGTTTGTCATAATTAAAGATTTTGGTAACCCGAAAAGAAAAGCTCAGAAAAAAAGTGTTAATGGTAAAACCAAGAAGAAAAAAACAAACCGATTGATGAATGAAACCCGAAATGAAAAAAAACTAAAACTAAATGAAAATGAATTTGTTATCTAGCTAGCTAGCTGGGGAATGTGTGATCAGAAATCGAAATGTAATATTCGTTTCACTGTTTTATTTTACTGGTATCATCGAACCAAGGGAAAAATAGAGATGAAACATTCACCATATCACTCTCTGGAGAACAATTTTATTTGATGATAACGAGTTTTTTCAGTTGCCTGCTCTATATTTTTTCCTTTTTGGAGGATCAAACAATGATGATGATCAGAATGAATTGAATTCATTGTTTTTGGGTGAAGGTATATAATCAATTTTTTTCAACTATTTCGATCCAACTTATTCGTCGCAGTGTAAATAGTGTAATGCTTTTTTTTTTTTTTTTTGGAAATTTTGTTTCAATTAACCCTTTTTTATCTTTGACATTTCTGTTTTTTCCCCTTTCTCTCTCTCTCTCTTTCCAATTTGATTTATTTTTCTTTCCAGTTTATTCTAAATTAAACAATATCTTTATTTACTTTGAAGAGGAAAGAAACTTTGACCAAAACAGAAATCTTTTCAGAAAGTTTTTTTTATTTATGGAGAAAAAAATCAACAACAACAAGACTTATGGTTATTGTCAATGATTGGACATTGGCCAAAACAACAACAACAACAACAACAAAAATGAATCGATACAAACTGCATTAGACATCTGTGTGTGGTCCATTACATTTATTTATTTCTATTTCGATCCATTTGTCCGACGAAAGAAAAAAAAAATCATTCTGACCAATTTTTCATATTTCTCTCTCTCTCTCTCCCCTCTTTTGCTTTCTTCACTCATTAATCATTGAAGGAGAAAAGAAATTGGAAATTGAAAAAAATGGTCATCGAATGAAGTAAGGGAAAAAATGAAAGCTTTTCTTTTTTTTCGCTGGATTTCAATTCGACTTTGTCCATCATCCTTTTCATCATTTAAATCTTTCTTCCATTCATTCAATATTACCGATGTATAATCCAATGAATTTCCCTGGGACAAACAAAAAAAAATTTGATGAATCTTGATTTTTTTTGTTTTTTGTTGTTGTTGAAAAATCTGTCTCGAAACAATCGATAGAATCGATATTTCAATGATTTTGACAGTTTTTTTTTGAATTTACGAAAAATCAGCAAAAATCTTTCCAAAATCAAATTTAAATGTTTTTTTTTCAGAGTTTTTTTTTCTTCAGACGTGTCCAATAATATTTACTTGAGTATCATTGAAAATCGACATTTGCAAAATGAAAAAAAAACAACAAAAAAACAAAATAGAAATCGGATGCTCAAACACGTTTTGCACATAACAATAAAAAACCACCACCACCATCAACAACAACAACAATTTCCATTTAGAAAATTGAAAAAAAAAACATTACTTTATATGTGAATTTTTCTTTTTTTTTTAGTTACGAATTCCTGATTTGTTTTGTTTCGTTTGTTTCTCTATCTCTCTTTTTGAAACAAACCTTGATCAGATTTGAAAACAAAACAAAACATAAAACCGAGATTTGTTGATTGCATGATCTTTTCTGTGTGTGTGTGTGTTTGGATCAAAAATCTAAATTCCAAAAAAAAACAAAGAAAAACTTTAAATTAACAAAATAATCGATTCTGGATTCTGGTTTTCAAAGTAGAAGAAAATAATGATATTGATGATGGGTGTTCCATCAACAACAGTGAAATCAACCAAAGGAGAAGAATCAAACAGAAGAATTTTTAATTGGAATGAAATGAATTCTTTGAATGGAAATTTACCTTCAAAATTTGCTTTTTGTTGGTTGATTTTGAAAAACATTTTTTTTTTTGATCAAAATAAGTCTGAAAATAATGATGGATAAATGGATTGTTTTTGTTTTTTGTTCGTTTGACTGATTTACAAATGTGAATGAACATGAAATGATAAATTGGATTTTCATTTCTTCTTCTTCTTTGTTTTTTTTTTCAAATGAAATTTTATTGAAGAAGAAAAAATCTTCATATCAAACAGATTTTGATTATCAAACAAACAAACAATCCGCCTATATGATGTTTTTTCTCTCTCTATGGAGTAGAGAGAGATAGAGAATGTATGATTACACACAGAGAAGAAAAGAAGAAAACCAAATTGATTGATTTTTGTGTTCGATGTCTTCGATTGGTTTTTTGTTTTGTTTTGTTTTGTTTTGTTTTTCTTCTTTCTTTTGCTCTTTTTTCTCTTTTTCCAAAAAAAATAATCACATCTCTATCGAAGGATAATTGAAGAATTTCTCAAGCTAAAAACAAAAAGCAGAAAAACAGAAAGGAAAAGATTCGAGAAAATCAAACAAAACAAAACAAAACGGAATCGACAAATTACCCTGATAAATTTGTGTTATCTGGGCTGTTAAACAGCAGAGAGATAGAGAGAGAGTGCTTTGTGTGACACACGCACACAAACAAACAAACTGTTTGATGTTTCAAATTTTCAATCAATTTGTTTCCAATCATCTCTTCATCAAACAAACAAACAAACAAACGGACAAACAAACAAGCAACAGCAATGATGGTAATGGTCAATATTCTTTGGATGAAAACCAAACAGAATACAGAATACAGAATACAATTCTTCTTTCCGAATGAAAATTCCATCGTTGGATTTTCAGGGGGGAAAAAAATTCTCCAAAAATTTCATTTCATTTCATTTTGAACAACAACAACAATGACAACAACAACAACAAAAATGAAAAGTAAACATATATTTTTTATCAATAATTTAACATTGAATTTGAATGAAATCCATGATCCATTGAAAATTCGAAAAATAATAATGATTTGAATTCCGAATCAACAAACAAACATTGAATCAAGAATCGAAGAATCAAATGAATAAAACAGAATTCTGGATGCCCAGGAAAACATCATCATTATTATTATCATCATTGTAGAATCTATGAACGTAAATTTCATAATCATTAAATTTTTTGCCCTAAATCCATCATCCATGGATCATATATAATGGTCATCATTTTTATAAAATATTTATAATGGCTATTTGCATGTAAGTCACACACACACTGACACACACAGAAGAAAAAAAAAACATTTTTATTATTCAATTTGGATTGTGTGTTTGATTTGGTTTGTTCAAATATTTGAGCGAAAAAGAGCGGGAGAGAGAGCGAAAACATCCCAAATATTTGATTAGAAAATTGAAATTTTTTGTTGTTGTTCTGGTCGGTCGTTTGGAAAATTTTTTCCAGTTTTCTTTTTTTCATTATCATTGGTCATCATTGTTATTAGGACACGTAATTTTATGCGATAATTTTTGGTTGAGATTTTTGCCATCTTTTCAAGATGTTATTAGATTATCATTTTTTCTCTGACTATCAAAATCTTCTGTCTGGATAATGATTTGATGATGATGTTTTATGGGGTTTGGGGGGTTTTTAGCTTTTGATATTTTATCTATTTTTTTCCCTGCAAATAACGTAATAATAATATTTTGTCGATTTTCGTTTTCAATTTGTTTTTGTCTATTTTTTTAGCCGCACAGTAAATTATTAACCGATTTAGATAATGCTGATATTGAAATTGTTGCATCACAAAGTATTGCTGATGAATTAAAACCAGAAATGTATTTACAGGATCTTAAAGTAAGTTGAAATTTAGTTTTTTTTTTTGAAAATTTTCCACTTTCAACCCAATTCTTTCTAAAATCCATCCATTCTTTTATTTAGGCCAAAGATGTACGAATAATTGTCGGTAATTTTGGTGAAGAATATGGTAGAAAAATATTCTGTCAAGTAAGTATTGATTATTAAAGTTTGACATTTTTTTGTTTTGTTTTGTTTTTCAGTTTGAAATATTTTTTTCGGTTCCTGTTTGTTGTTCCTGGCCGTTGTTTGATTGAATCAAATCAATTATTAACATTTTTTTTTGTTTTCAAATTTATTCAACTATTTCGACTTGAACGTGATTCGAATAATATCGGATGATGAAAATATTATACACACGATTAGTAATCGATTGATCGGATATCAGAAATTTTCTTTTTTTTTTGTTTTAGTTTTCCTGGAACATTCTATAGAACGGAAACTATTTTCATCCATCCATCCATTTTATATCGAATAAGTATTTGTGAATCATCAAACAAACAAACAAACAAACAAACAAACAAGCGACGACTATTTCGATCCAGTTGGATAATTTTTTTTCAGAATTTCTCCACAAAAAAAAAATGATGATAGCTAAATGATAATGATAATAACCATAAAGATCATTTATGATTATCAAATGTCATCATCATTTTCATTTGTAAATGGAAATGTACACAAATGAAATGAAAAACGTTGATGAACCAGAAAACTACTAATAATAATAATAATCCAATGGAACAAAATAAGTCGCAATGGAACAATAAATAGCGAAAGATAATGATGGTGGTGAATTATCTCTCTCTCTCCCTCTCCCTTCCTCAAGTAAATAACTAAGGGGGAAAAAATAATTTCCAAAGCCATTTTTATGGCCAAAAAGAAAAGAAATGCTAGTCACTCTTGAACATCTTCACAATCTTTTTCTTGCTAGTAGGGTAATCTTTTGGTTCGTTTGTTTGTTTGTTTGTTTGTTTTTCGATCGGTATTTTCTTCATTTCTTCTTCTTTATTATCGTCATTATTATCATCATCATTCAAAGGGAAACAGCAAAAAAAAACATTTCCAGATTTTTTTCCTTTTTTCCTTCGTTTATTTCATTTCATTTCATTTCCAGTAAAATTTATCATTTTCTTTGTTCAATGGTTCTTAGCACCAAAGTTTTTCTTCTTTCTTTCCATTCATTTCATTTCATTTCTATTATTTTCCAAGTTTTATTATAATAAGATTTCCATTACTATTTTCTTTTTATTTTTTATTTTTATTTTTTCTGTTGGTTGCCTGATACACATATGATAGGTTATATATGGACCATGTAATTCTTTTCGTTTTTGATTTTACAGATTCTGATATAGAAACACACATAGATGTGTAGAAGAATGTAGATGGTAACCAGGAATATTAGAAAACACACATGAAGAGAGGGAGTGAGAATGAAAAATCTTTGTTTCCAATTTTCAAGATTCTTGTACACGAAGAGAGAGAGAGAAAAATACATTTTCATTTTTTATTCATTTCGAAGATTTTTTCGTTTCGTTTTCGATGTGGAGAATTTCTTCTCCTTCTTTTGTTTGGAAAGTAACAAGATAATAATTTTCAACAATGTTTTTTTGTTTTTGTTTTTCGTTTGTTTTCGGTCTATTAGGTTTTTTTTTGTATTTCGGATGTGAGAGAGAGAGAGAGAGAGAGAGAGAGTGTTTGATGTAATAACATGCGAAAAAAAAGAAACATGGTTTGTTGTAAAAGCTGAAAAAGGTCATAATCATAATTTATGAATGAAGAGAGAGAGAGAGAGAGAGAGAGAGAGAGAGAGAGAGTGTTTGATGTAATAACATGCGAAAAAAAACGAAACATGGTTTGTTGTTTAGCTGAAAAAGGTCATAATCATAATTTATGAATGAAGAGAGAGAGAGAGAGAGAGAGAGAGAGAGAGAGAGAGAGATAACAAAAAAAAATAGCCTCAAAAAAATGATGATTGTTGTTGTTCGACTATTTCAACACAAATGTGTTTTTTTTTGGTTGAACATTTTGAAATTTGAATTTAACATTTTTGAAACTTTTTTTTGTTTTTGTTATTTTTCTATTTAGGCATATAAAGAAGGTATTTATGGTCGTCGTTATCAATGGATTATAACCGGTATTTATGATGAAAATTGGTGGCAATTAAATGATGATGAAATTGATTTATTGGGATGTACTGAAGAACAATTATTAGAAGCAATTAATGGTTATATTTCAACAGATATATTACCATTAAGTAAAAATACACAAACATATTATGGTTTTGTAAGTTTTTTTCCCTATTTCGATCCTAGTTGCTTTTTATTTTGCATTAATCAAAAATTTTGTTTATTTTTGATTTCCTGATCTATTTTGACCTTAACAACACATCTTATTTACTAGGAAACATCATTATATAAAAGTGAATATGATCGTTTACGTTTACGTGAATATAGCCGTTTTCATGGCTATGCATATGATGGTATTTGGACAATTGCATTAGCAATACAAACAGTTGATAAAAAATTACGACAAATAAATTCACCATTAACAATTGAAGATTTTCATTATCGTGATCCATTTTGGGCACAATTATTTCGTGAAGCATTAAATGAAACGGATTTTATTGGTGTTACGGTATGTAAAAATGTGTAATGTACTTCCCATATATTCAATGATTTTGAAAACTTTTCTGAAAAATTTCCCCTATGTGTTTCGGTACGTTTCTATGGAAATCATCGTATATTTGAAGCCCACAGAATAGTTAGAATAGTTACCTTTTTTTGAATTTGACAAAAAAATGAATGAATGAATGAATTGGGTGTAAATAGTCGAAAATTTGATACTTTTTTTCAGGGGAAACAACAGAAATTTTCAATCATTCATAATTCATGTCATAAAATTTATGTCTTCATTTTGTGGTGCAAACAAAGAATGAAACCAGAAAACCAGATAAAAACCAGAGAAAAACAAAGAATGAACCAGAGAGAAATCGATAAATTGACATAGACAACTGCAGTTTTAGTCAGTCAATAGAGGTTTCATCATTTTTCCATTGTTCTGTGATCAAAAAGTAGTGCCAAAAATCGAATCATCTTTTCTGTTTTGTTTTTTTTTGTAATTTCATTTTGTCATTTTGTACCGACCAAAAATAGCAAACAAACAGAAAACAGAAACAAAAAACTCAAAAATCGAGAACTCAAAAATTCAATTTGATTTTTTTTTTGTTTTCAAACGAAAAAAAAAACTTTTCAAAGAACCAAACAATAAAATTCTTACGTAATCATCATCATTGTCGATTGATTCTTCCTTTAGCGAAAAATCATCATCATCATTAAAAATCATTGAAGGACTTTTCCAAAAATAACATTGATTACTTGGGCGAGTACAAAATATAACAAAATGAAAAAATTCAAAAGAAATTTAAGATTGGAAAATATAGGAGAATGGAAACCAGCAAAAAGCAAAGCAAAAAAATCCAATTATCATTAACGACGTTTTTAGACAACAGAAAAAAGAAAGAAAGAGTCAATCTTAATGAGACCTATTTGAAGATATTTCATTTCATGGATTTCTTCTTCTTCTTCTTATTCCCCACTATGTAGTTTTGTAATTGAGAGAAATTTTCTCGAAAACAAATTTTCCGGAAACTTTCTTTCTGGAAACTTTCTTTCTGGAAACAATCCCAAACAAAAAACCAATCAATTCAATTGATTAAATAGAGAGAAATATTTTTGGCAATTTGAATCGATGATGAAAAGTGTTTAATTTCATCATCATCATCATCATCATCATCAAATTTGATTATTACTACTAATTAAATTTGGATGATTTTTAATTGAAAATGAAAATATACCAGTATTGATTTTCTGGTTGTTTCTGGCTTTGGTTTCTGGTATCTTTCATTTAAAAAGATTGCTTTCAATTTAACCACCACCATCAAATAATGGAAGAGAAATATAACCCAAAAAACCCCCAACCACAATCAAATTAATTTCGAAACTGAAACCAAAACCAAAAACCCAAAAAAATCATTAAATAGCAAAAAAAGGATTAATTAATCAATATTTGATTTATTGCATCAGGATTGGTGATGAGAGAATCCTTTCATCACCCCCCAAAAAAAAATCAAATCGATATTCTCGAAGTTTGAATAAAAACCAACAAATAATGATGATTCGAATGTTGAAATTCATCAAATTTGTCATTGATTCTTTTGGCCTTGTTGTTTACATTTAGATCGCAAAACCAATAGAGAAAAGAGAAGATCCATTGAGAATTGATGAGGGAGAGAGAGAGAGAGAGAGAGAGAGAGAGAGAAAAAAAATCACAACATCAACAAATCATTAATGAAAATGAAAATGAAAAATTTTTCGTTGTTGTTGCAAATTTCTCATCAGAAATAATGAGATATGACAATCCGATTCTTCTTCTTTCAACAACAAAAGAAAATTTCCGAAAAGAAATTTTTTCGGAAAGGAAAGAAAAGAAAATAAACGAAGAATAAAACTATATTCATCATCAATTTACGGAATAATCAATCAATACATTTTTTTGTCGATTCATCGTCGTCGATATGTTTACCTCTTCCTTTCTTCTCCCATAGTTTTCCTCTAACACCCACTTGGTCTCCCCCTCCCTCCTGCATAATCATTATATGAATATTTTTTTTTGCTTTTCTGAAAAAAAAATTTCGGTTTGTTTTCGATTACACAACCCAAATCAATCAATAATTTTTTCTTCTTTTCTTTTTCTTTTTTTTTCAAACCAAAAACATTATTCAACAACAACAACAACAAATAATTTCTTGGAACAAACTAGGACCATGTTAGTTTTGATAAAAATGAACGTCGTGGAATCGTTTTGCTTCAACAATTTCAATGTAAGTTTTTTTATATTCATTGCTGTTCATTTCGAATGATTCGTGTGTGTATGGAACATCCGTACCGAACATTATTATTTAATAAAGAATATTCCATTGAAACATTTCTTTCTTTCATTCATCATCAAATTTATGAATGGCAATGAATGAAAAGTCTGTTTCTATGTTGTTTTTTGTTGCCATACAGAATCAGGAAATAATCAGGAATTTTATTGAGAATCCAGATAATGAAATGAAATCGAGAACTTAACACATATGCACACATACCATATTTTCTTCTTTCTTTGAAAATTTGATTACCGTTGATTTTTCTTGCTTTCGTAGTTGCATAAAACGAAATGATTCAAAATAATTCAATCAAAAGATTCAATATATGATTGTTATTAGAGTAGTAGTGAATAAAGGAAAAAATAAAAACAGCCCAAAGGTTTTAACAAATTCAATCTGTTTTCTTTCATCTTTGAATTTCTTTTTTTTTTTTGTGAATAAAATGTTGTTTTCGGGAAATTTCTCAGAAATTTTTTGTTGTTGATTTAATCGTTTGGGTCAGTAATAATGATGATGATGACAATAACAAATGTTGATGCTAAATAAATAAATAAATAATTCTTGTAGCCAATTAGATCGAAATAGTTGCTGTATTCATTCAGAAGAAAAAGAAGAATCTTTTGTTGAAAATGTAATGTAATGAAGCCAACTTTTTTCTCTTGTTGTTGCTGTTTGATTTTTCTGCTGACCATATATGATTCGATTGATTTGCCATAATCATCATTTGACCGATTGCAATGATTTTTTCGTTCGTTATCATCGTTATCAGGAAAAAAATTCGTTCGAAATACCCACAAACAATGTCAAGCAAACGAACGAATAACCATCATCATCATAATGAATTTGAGCAGCGAGAGTGATTCTCATCATTTTTGATGGCAGTGGTGGTGGTGGTCAGTGGTAGTTGATAATGGTCATCATCATCATAATTATTAATGTCAATAGTAATCATAATAATGATGATGATGATGATGATTTACTTTAGCCAAACAATGAAAATGAAAAAAAATTATAAATTCTTTTTGAGTCAATCAGCAGAAAAAAAAATTCTGTAGTAAACAATGGAAAATTGCTGGGAAGTTTTCCCATTATATTCAAAAAAAAAATTCCATTTCCGAAAACATTTCTCCGATTCATTACACACAATCAAATGAATGAACGAAGGAAAAAAATCCATTACATTGATGATTTTTTATTTATAATGACGACGATGATAATGATGATTCTCTTTCTTTCCCACCACCATCATCATCATCATCATCATGGTTGAAAATGAAAAAAAAAAATTCGTTATCAAAAAAATAAAAATGGACACAACCAATAAAGGACACCCACTAAACATTAACAATTTACAGTTTTTTTTCTCTCATTCATTCATTCATTTTGCAATTTAATTTTTTTTGGGAAATGTTTTCGAAATAGAAAATTTCCCGAAAAATTTTCCATCAACTAATCTCAACAAAAAAAACATTTAATGTGTTATTGGACATTACATTATCATTATCATCAATTTTCTCTTTCTTCAGCAAAGAGAGAGAGAGAGAGAGAGAGATCATCAACATCATGTTGTGATTCCAGAAAGGAAATATCTTAGGAAATTGTTTATCACCATACACCAACACATCAAACATCAACACCGAACATGAAGAGAGCTGAGCACTTGAAAAAACTGAAAACAAAACAAAAAAATTCAAAGTTTATCAGAATTTGAGTTTTCATTGAAAACACTTGAAAGGTTAATAATGATCCATCATCATTCAAACAAACAAAAAAAAAGATGTTCATTGAGAATGATTGATTTAGTGTTGTTGAAATATTAACCAAAGAAAGTTTATTTGACTTTTTTTTGAAATCCGGTTGAAATTCAATCAGTGTTTCTCATTCCTTTTTTGTTTGTTTTTTTTCAGTCGAGTTTTTGTCATTAAAAATGGATGTAAAAAAAAAGTTTCGAAATACCGATATTCTTTCTTTTCTTGTCATCTTTCTGTAGTAGTTCTGTTCAAATGAAACTTTTTCGTTTTCGTTGTCAAACATCGACGTCATCATTCGAAATAGATCATTTCGAAACAGAAAAAAATTTAAATTTAGATTTATTTATTGTAACAAGGAATTTGTTGTTGGTTGGAAACAGAAACAAAACAAAAAAAATCCATTTCAAACAAATCTTTGACACTTCTTTCGCTCGTTTTGTTTGTATTTTTTTTTTGGGAAATTTTTTATTTTTAGCATTCGATTCTGGCTAAAATTTACGGGAATATTTTTTCACGGGAAATCTTTTTACGGGAAATTTTTTTCCCTCTTTTACAATTTTTTTCGATGAATTTTTTTTCATTTGATTCAAACAGATAATTCCGGTTATTAATTTATAATTTCAATTTTCCCCGATTCGGATATTGTTTTTCTTTTGTTTTTTTTTAAATATCCGAACAGCAACAAAAAAAAAAGAATATTTTTCCCCTATTTCGACACAATTTGCCCACTGCTGTTGTTTTTGGATTCAAAAACAACAACAAAAACATTCGAAAATTCGAGCGGAAATTATTTACCATCATTTTCTTTCTTTCTTTCATTTCGGTTATTTATTTTCTTGTTTTCTTGTTTTCATCATTAGTTCAAACAAAAAAACTTTAAGAATTATTTATTTTCTCATTAAATCTTTGCTTTGTTTATCTTCTCTTTCTTGTTGCTGTTGTTGTTGATTTATTATCGGTAGTGACATTTTTTTTGTTTTTCTTTACCATCATTATCATTGAAAAACTAATCCAATTTCTTTTCTTTCTTTCTCATTATTATCTAACAATGTTCATCATTATTCACGTTGGTATATCAAATTGGATGTTTGCTTGATCAAACTACCAAACAACAACAACAACAAAAATCAATGATCAATGTTGATAATGGTGTTTGATGGCTTTTGACACATTGAATGAATATCGTATTAAATAGCAAAAAAATTTTCAATGACCGATATAGCACAATATTATACATATAATGATGAATTAATATTTGATGATCAAAATCAAATTGATTGGCGTGGTAAGTGTTAATTGTTTTTGTTTATTTTTTCTTAAAAAATTAATTCAATTTTTTGTTTTCCTGTTTTCTTTTTTTTCAGGTGGAAATAGTCCACCAGTCGATCGTAATACGGTTGTTATAAAACCATCTCGTATTAGTATGACATTATTTATTGTGATTTCAGTGTTTGCCATTATTGGCATCATTATTGCCTTTGTTTTTCTTGCTATGAATATCAAATATCGTAATCAAAGGTATGTTTTATATTCATTTATTTTCTTTGAAATATCCATAAAATTCATCTGAGAAATACCTGTTAGTACCCAAAAAAATCATCATTATTATTCAGAAAGCATTTTCAAATAATGATTACCAATCCACCTTGCTTCCATTTAGTAAATGAAAAACAAAATGTTAAAATCCCTGGATTCTCTATTTGAAAATGACCGCAAATGCACATGTAAATCCGTTATAAGTCGTTTCTTTTCTTGATGTTTATCCCATTCGACTACAACAACAAAATGTGCCAGAATTCAGGGTTTCCTCTCATATATCATGAAGAATCACGTAGAATATTTTTTTGTTTTGCTACAAGAAACAACAACAACCGAAATTTCATTTCATTATTTATTATTTATCAACAGTATTACATAACAAATCATCATCATCAACCATTTTTCAACAGCAAAAAAAACAACAACAAAAATCATTGTCTCAGAAGAATATTGTTGTTTTCCATTTCATCATCATCATTATTAATATTATTGTTGTTTATTATGAATTTGTTTTAAATGAATGAATGAATGTATGGATGGATGGATGGATGAAGCCAGAAACCAGTAAAAAAAAGTGATAATTTTCTTCCATTTGTGTGTGTGTGTGTTTCGCTTTTGTTTGCGCTTGTATGATTCTTTTGTAAACCAGAAACAAACATTTGAAACAAACAAATATTAATAATGAAACCGGTTCATATTTTTTGTTTGTTTTTGTTTTTCGTTTTGGTTTAATGTACTATATTCATTTGTAAATGTGAATTACATTTACAAAAAATGGATTGTTTAATATTAATCGACAACAGCAAAAAAACAAAGACTGAAACATGATTTACAAATTATTATTATGATTATCATCACCAAGACAACCAAGACACCAAACACAAAAAAAAACATTTAAAAAAAATCAAACGACAAAAGTTTATCTACTATATACTATACACACACAAAGAACATATATTAATCATTTTGATTGAAAAAAACAAAATTTCCCACTATTTTCACCTTTGTTGTCCTTTTTTCCGGTTGATATAGAGAATTTTTCATGATAAGAAATGATAATTTTTTCTAATTTTTTTCTTTTTTTTTCTTTTTTTTTCTTTTTTCAAAAGATACATCAAAATGTCTAGTCCTTATCTTAACAATTTAATCATAATCGGTTGTATTTTAACTTATACCAGTGTGATTCTTTTGGGTTTAAATAGTGGCCTAACAAATGAAAATAATTTTCCATATATTTGTGCGGTATGTATCCTTTTTTTATCGCTTATTGTTGGTTGAATCCAATTCCAAAAGTGGAATTGATTTTTTTCTCTCCCACCATTCTTATGTCATTTTTTTTAAAGTTTTTAAAGTTTTTTTCCCCTCTCAGAAAAAGTTCAATTGTCCATCACAAATCGTTTCTTTTCCTCTCTAAATTGTGTGTTATTAATCTTTTAAATTGCTATTTTGTTCTTTTGGTTTGGAAAAATTGTTTAATTTTTTTTTCTTTTTTGGGCTTTTATTGATCGTTTTTACAATCTTCGAATCGATCTGAACAATTTATCCCCATATCCTCTCTCAATTCGATGACATTAAGTTTTATTTTTATTATTATTATCATTAGTTTTATCGGGTCATTTGTCGTTTGTTTCGTTTTTCAGTTTGAAAAACTTTTTGATTTTAAGAAAATCTTTTCGAAGCACTTTTTTTCATGAAATTTTTAATCTTTTTCTTTTTTGGTCTTTTCAGAGCCGAGCCTGGGTATTGATGACCGGTTTTACATTGGCATTTGGAAGGTAAGTTTTCATTTTGTTTACAACGAAAACAACAACCAAAAAACCTTGATATAAATTTCAATTTCAATAAAACTATTAGAATAGCAAAATTCTAACTCTAAATCCATATGGATGTTTCTTTCGATTCCATACCCAAAATATATTGGATTTTTTATCCAGAATTTGTCACGTTTTTTTCGTAAGGCAAATAATATTCATTAATAGCTTGAAGGTTTTTTTTACTCATTTTTCTCTTTTGATTATTGTTACAAATTGTTGTTTGAAGGGGCCTATAAGCAATGATAATGTTTTTTCTATGAATGTTTGTAGGGGAAAAGAAGTTGGAAGAAAGAAAAAATATTCCATTAAGCAACATTATGAATATCATAGTCACCGAGCTATCTAAAAAGATATTTGATGAATATTCAATTCATTCATTCATTTGACTTTTTTTTTCCTTTATCCAAAAAAAATATATAATGTTTTTCATCATCATCATCATCGTTGATATGTGTACAGAATATTCTTCTTATTCTGTGTGTGTGGCTAAAATTCATAATGATTTGAAAAGCAATATAAACTGAAAAGAAAAAGAAAAAGAAGAAAAATACCGAAAAAGGAAAAAAGATCTTTCTTAATTCCCAAGCTAATATTAAATATTATAGAATGTTTGTGGCCTAGTTTCACTTTAGGTTTGTGTTTGTTTATTTGGGATGCTTTGAATTTTCTTTCAAATTCTTCTTCTTCATCACATATCATCTTCACACACACACACACCACACACATGAATGATGGTAAAATTTTTTTTTTCAACAACAAAAAAAAACCACATCAGCGAAAATTTTTCGTTGTTGTTGTTGTTTTTCATTTCTTCATTTTTTTTCCAAAAATGATAACAAGATTATTTTAGATTAAATTCTTCTTTTTTGGAAATTTCAATTTTTTTTGCATGAAAAGAAAAGGAAATATACATTGTTCATCATCAGGAAAAAAATTTCCCTGAAACTTTTTTCCCGAAAAGTTTTTCTGTGTAAAAATTCTGGTAGTGTGAGGATAACAGTAAACAACCGACAAAAATACATTCATCATTTGAATGGCCATACAAAACAAAAAAATTCAGATCAACTTTTCGACAACTGCCAGTTCAATGATATTTTTTGGTTATTGAATTTTATTATCGAGAATTTTTCCCAACCAAAACAAACACTTTCAACAACAGAAAATTTAAAATTCAAACATTTTTTTTTCGAAAATTCTTGATTTTTTCAAATGAAAAATTCTGTTTTAATTGATTTGGTTTGTTTGTTTGAATTTTATTGCCGGAAAAAACAGAATTTTCCCTGCTTGTTTACACACTTTTTTATATTTGATTTTGGAAAAGTTTTTCATTTCATTTTCATTTTCAAATCGTTTTTTTTTTCATTTGAAATATTCATCTCTCTCTGTGTGTGTTGATGTTTGAATCGAAAATTTTTTTGTAAACATTTGTTTTTTTTAACATCTTTTTTTTTGCTGTTTGTTTGTTTTGTTTTCCAATGCTATCCACCTACCACCCACCAACCAACAACAGTATGTTCAGTAAAACATGGCGTGTTCATGCCATTTTCACCGATATTAAGCTCAATAAAAAGGTAAGCAGAATTCCTGATTTTAAACTTTTTTAATTTCTTTTTTTTCCACATTAAAAAAGTTAATCAAAGATTATAAATTGTTTATGGTTGTTGGCGTACTTGTATTTATTGATGTTGTAACATTAACAACATGGCAAATTGTCGATCCATTTTTTCGTGTTACAAGTCAAGGAAAACCTGAGGTAAATATATTTTTTGTTTTTTTCCAATGCTGTTTGTGTGTGTTAATGTCATATGTGGGAGGAGAATGTAAAATTTCATTTTTGAAAATAACATGTTTTTGGCATGGTCAAAGGGGGGTAATTTGCATCATTTTTTCATTGTCCCCCTTTTTGTTTTGGTCCGAAAAAACCTAAACTTTTTGTTTGTTTGTTTGCACCCGAAAATAACCGAAAACAACCCAAAAAAACTTTTTTTATGGCTGAATTACACATTGAGAATTCAGCCAAAACAAAACAATTATAGCGATCATTACAGCTGTTGGTTGATCCGAAATGAAAAAAATCAGCAGCAAGAAAATTTTTTTCGGAAATTTTCTGCGATTTTCAGAATGATAAAGATTTGCAGGGGCCAGAAAATAACTAAATCGATTTAGCATCAATAAATGTTTGCCTGTTCTGTTTTTTGTTTTGAAAAATGACAGAATTTTGTTTTTTTTCGACCGAGAAACATTTTTTTCTTCGGTAGTGATGAAAATTCTTTAAATTCTGCTGTTTTTTTTATAAATTTATTCAAAAGCCGATTCTGCTTCTGTTTGCTTTGTTGAATGAAATATTCAAAATCAAAATATTTTTTGGCCCAGATCGATTTTGATTTTTCAAAAGTTTTTTTTTGTTTAAAAAAAATGAAAAATTTTTTCCCTCCTGCCTACCAGCAATGAGGCTAGGAATTTCCCCCCAAAAAAAACATGCATGCATTGTGAATTTTGTGATAATGATATTCATTCAGCCAAACACATTTATTTTGGGTGTTTTTTTTTCGTTGTTGTTGTTGTTGTTGAAAATATGAAATGAGTTTTTTTTCTTTGTTTTCTTCGGTGCAATTCTTGAAATTCTTTTCTTGTTCAACAACAACAACAACAACAGAATAACAGAATCGAAAAAGAATTCAAAGGTTCAAAATGATCATTATTATTTCTCGAAATATTCTTCATCAATATTCATGTCATTTTTTTTCTACAAAATTTCAAAAAAGAAATTTTTTTTTTTGAAACATTTTTTCTGCGAAAACATTTTCATTTGTAAATAGGCGAAAAAAAATGTCTATTTTAACCATGGTCTACATTACACAATAATTATCAGGAAAACATCATCATTTTTCCATTCTGCGACGAATGATTTTACCATGATTGGTTATGATTCTGACAACCGAAAGCAAAACTGTCAAAAATCTTAATTTTTTCAACGAAAAAAATCACTGAAAATGGTAAACTCATTTTCACTAATTAACATCAAATGATGATAATGAACGTTGTATCAATGTTTTTTTGAAGAAATATTCCCGAAAATATTTCCGAAAACATTAAAAAACTTTTTTTTTATCTTTATTCTTATGGCTCAGCGAATTTTGAACACTTTTTTTTTTGGCGAAAAAATTCTCATTTAATCCAGTCAAGTTATCCCCAAAAAAAGTGTTGTTGCTCAAACGAAAAAAATTTTAATTTGTTTTTTCTCTTGCTGTTCAGTGTTTGCCAATTAATTTTTCTACACGCACAATCAACGAATGAATGTGAGAAGAAAAAATGAAATTGGAAATTTTTTTTCCATTTCCCAGAATAATTTCCTTCCTTGCAGAAAAACTAATCAACACTTTGATAATGATGATGATGATTGTCGATATAGTTGAAATGCCTGAACTAAATTCCTTCTTTATTTTTCGTTTGTTTGTTTGTTTGGAAAAAATTCAATTGTTTCTTCAAAAGTTAACGAATGTAAAAATAATGATGATTTTCATCGCACTGAAAAACGATTAAATGGATTTTTAATCACAAAAAAAAATGAATTTTTTTTCCAAAATTTTGACATTGAAAATGTTTATGTAACAATATTCTCATTCTCTTTTTCACAAATTCTATTACTCACAATCGATACTATCGATTGTTTTTTGTTTCGAATACTATCGAAAAAACGTTCGATTTTTTTTTTGTTTTTTTGGCCAAAACTTTTATCTATTCGATGGTTTGTTTGTTTTGTTTTGTTTTGTTTTGTTTTTTCGGCAAATAAATTGTTATTAGTTTTCATCATCATCATTTCGATTTGATTTTTGCTTTCGACCCAAGAGAGAAACAAGAATAATAACAATAACAACAACAACAAATTCATCATTCATAATTTCCGTCGGTTTTTTTATATATTTGTTTTTTGTCTATTTGTTTGTGTAACAAACAAAAGCAAAAATAAATAATTATAATTGATTGATTGATTGATTGATCGATTAATTTGATTGCTTTTGTTGTTATTATTGTTTTCGTTCGTTTGTTCTTTTTTTTACTTATTTTGATTGACAATCATATTTTTCGATTATGATCGATATGAATTTTCTTTTATTCCCATTGACATTCTCAAAGTGTTTATTGATTTTTTGTTTTCCTTTTTCCTTCTTTTTTACTTTTCCATTGTCATTATCATCAATGATGGCCAAAACAAACAAAAAATTTGTTTGTAAATCGAATCAAATCAACGCCGATAACAAACCGAAACAACAACAACGAAAAAAAGCCATCACCACAAAATGAAGATATTCTTGTTATACCCGAAATGGAATATTGTCAAAGTAAACGTATGACTATATTTTTAGGATCAATTTATGTTTACAAAGGATTATTAATGGTAATTTTTTGATGATTTTTAATGATTTTTTCTTTTGAATTTTTATGTAAAATCTTATTATTTTTTTAAACAAAATAGGCATTTGGAATATTTTTAGCATGGGAAACAAGACATGTATCAATACCTGCATTAAATGATTCAAAATATATTGGAATGTCTGTTTATAATGTTGTTATAATGTGTGTTATTGGTGCTGGTGTTTCATTTGTATTACGTGATCAACAAGATGCTGCATTTGTTATTATATCAGCATTTATTATATTTTGTTCAACAGCAACATTATGTTTAGTATTTGTACCAAAAGTAAGTATTTTTAGTAAACAAAAATTGATTGATTCTTTATTCATTATTGAAATGATTTTTTTTTTGTTTCAACTTAAAAAAAGCTTATTGAATTGAAAAGAAATCCAAATGCTGGTGATCGTCGTGTTCGAGCTACATTAAAACCATTTAAAAAATCACATCGTGATTCAGAAGATATTGAAATACATACAAAAATCAAATTAGCAAATGAAGAAAATTTTCGTCTTCGACAACGTTTAAAAGAGGTTTGTGTAAATCTTTATTGTTCATTTGTTTTTGATGATAATTTTGATTTTGTTTTTGTTTTTGCTGACCAAAAACAGAAATCCTACGAACTAGAAGCATTAACATTTCGATTAAGAGCATTAGAAGAATCAATGGAAAAAGAAATGACGAATGTAACGACAACATCATCATCAGCTGCCAAAACAATTATACAACCAAAAATACCACCACCATCATCATCATTATCATTATCACCAACAACAACTGCTGGTAAATCTGTGATTTTAGCTTCAAATTCTGTAAATAATCTGGGTATGGCAAGATCATCATCATCATATGCTAATAATATAATACCAAATACAACTAATGAAATTATTGTTGAAGAAAATGATCTTAAACAAATCGATAACTGTGATCAAAGGTTTGTTGTTTGTTGAATGTTACAATCTTTTTTTTTACCAAAAAGAAAAAAAAAATATTAATCAAAAAAACTTTTTCAATCCATCAACAAAAAAAAGGAAACTTTCGGTTGCCAGCCTAAAAGTTTTATCAAAATCAGCATCATCATCAGCAGCGGCAGCGGCAAAACGACAAAAATTAAATATAATTAAAACACCGTTAGGACATTTTGAAATACAAGAAGAAACAACATCAACATCACCAACAGAAATTATTGTAAATAGTACAAGTATTTTATCATTAAGTTCTGAAGCTGCTCAATTAACTGTAAAAAATAGTCAACAATCAACAAATGAACCGCCAATATCTTCTAATATTTCATCTAATGGTGAACAAAACAATAGTCCACAAAATGGAAATGATGGTATTAGTGATCAAAGTGCTACCGGTAGTACAAAATCATCCGATGAAATGAGTTTTACATTTCCAACTTATCATCCTACACATCATCATCATCATTCTAAACGAATAACTGGTAATGGTATTGCTGGTGGTGATTCGAATTTATTCAGTCCAAATGGTTCATTTAATGAACAATGTTCATTATCAAATGGTTCTGATGAAACATCTGATGATACATCTTATGCAAAAGCAATTAAACAAACAATGGAATCACAAGTACAACAAGCTATTATGTCATCAAATACAAATGTGATAAGTGGTAATAATATTACGACAATTACTGATGATAGCCATCCTTATCATTATCATCATCATCATCATCAATGTACAGCTATACCAAGAATGACAACTGGTATGGTTACATCAACAGCAACCAGTGATGATGTTGGTACAACTGTCCATCTACAACATTGTTGCCATCATCATAATCATAATCATCCTCATCATCATCATGTACCAATTACTGTACATCATCCATATCTTCATCATCCAACCCATCCTCATCATCATCATCATCATCATTTACCTATTTCGGCTATATCTACACAATCATCTTCATCGATGCCAACATCATCTTCAGATTATTATCAACAACAACAACAACAACAGCATCTAATTGTACATCAATCACAGCCATTAACACCAATCAATAATGGTGATGAAGAAGATGATGATAATGATGATGATGATGATGATAACCGTAAAGGTAGTGATGATCAATTCGATGAACATTATGAACGCCAATCATCTAGAATGTTTGGCGGCCATTATCCAAATATGTATTGATTGTGTGTGTGTGTGTGTGCACTAACCATATATGCAAATAGATACAAATATGATTTTTTTTAACAAAACCATACAATTACCCAAAATATTTTTTAAAAAATATATATATTGATCAAATGCATGCTGATATATTATTATTATTATTATTATCAACTAAATGGATGATCATTGGCATTCTATATTTATTTTATTTTTTTTTTGTTGAATTGATTGATACATTTCGATATTCTTACTATAAAAAAAATACAGAGCTAAAATTGCCAACTGTAACGGAAATATCATCAAATACAACTATTGATAATGATGAAAATGAAAATAATAATAAACCTGAAATGATGATTGAAAATAATCAACAACACTGCCATAATATTGATGAGAAAAAAAATATGTTTGACAATAATAATAATAATATTGATTTGGGCAATAATAATAATGATAATTTAAAGCGAACATTTCAACAACGACGAACACAAAGTTTTGGTGGATTTCTTCCAACGACAACTACTACTGGTAACATTATGATCAATACACATGAGGATTATAAAACATCATCATCATCGACAATTGTAACAATTTCATCATCAATGGCAATCGATAGTGCCATAAGACAAACATTCAAATCTAAATCACCAGTTCGATCATATTCCAGTTTTGATGATACATTGAATATTATTGATTCGATACGAATACCAACATCGATATCAATTTCATCTTCGAATAATTATCATCATCATCATCAACAGCAACATCAACAACAACAACCATTATTTTTATCATCATCAACGACATCATTATCAACATTATCGTCGTTACGCCTTTATCCTTATCTTACACATCCGATTGTATCTACAACATCATCAGTATCATCCACAACAACATCAACAACAACGATAATACAGACATCCAATCATCATCATTTTTATACACATCAACAACAACAACAACATCAACCACCATTACATTATCGTTCAATGTTGATCGATCAACAACAACAACAACATTTTCATAATCAATATTCATCAACAATGGCCACTACAACACTTCCTCATACTCATCATCATAATCATCATAATCATCAACAACATTCAAATCAAATAAATCATAATCATTTACGTAGTGGACAATCATGTCCACATGTTCGTTGTGATATTGTCGAATATCTTTGAAAAAAAAAAATTATTATTATCATGAAATTCTTTATTATAGGCAATATATTTATCAATCAACAAAAGGAAATTCTGTACAAATTCTGTATTAATTATTCCGGATGCTCAATACACAAACACACACACTCATCTATAATAATGATGTTGTTACATTTGATGTTTTTTTTTCAATATTTTTTGTTTCCCATTGTTATTGTCTTTTTTCTCTCATTGTTGTTGTTTTTTTTTATTGTATCAATCTGATTCCAAGAAAAAAAAATTCTGTATATTCATAGTTTGATCATAATCATTCAAGCAACGACAACAACAACAACATCAAATCGAAGAAAAATTTTCCACAATTTTTTTTTTGTTAAATTTCAAAAATTTCAACCACAATCGGTCGATTTTCGTCATCATCATCATCATCGTTTTCGATCGAAAGTAAATTATTGTTATCGATCCATATGAATGAATCAAGCAAACAACAGAAAAAAGAAATGAAAAAAAAACTTGGAATAAAAACTTTAAACAACCAGCCAACAACGACGACGACAACAACAACCGACAATAACCGATCGAAGAAATGTTCATTTGAAAATATAAAAAATGAAAATATAAAAATAAAATTTCGATTGTGACGTCCATTTTGGCTGCTGTTTGATCATCATCATCATCATCATCATCATTCTATATACTTATCTTGATTATATATGATGGCCATTTTCAAACGAAAACCAGAAAAGAAGAATCAGAGAAATGGTGAAAAAAACAAAAATCGATATATGTTGATTTCACATTTCAACCATTTTCTCATTCGTTACAATCCCATTATTATCATTATGATTTTTCGTTTTTCGTTGAACATGAATTTCTGATTATTTTTTTTTTGGTTCCGTCAGGCCCATTCAACCATGGTCACACCACCACCACCAAATGGTTAAATTTTTGTATATTCAATTTTTTTTTCTCTCTGCGTTTCTTTGTTTTTTGTCTTCCCTATTTATTTATTTATTTATCCACATTTTGGTTATTATTTTTTGGGATTTTCGGCTGGTTCCATACACACAACAAACAGCAAGCAAACAAACATTAAAATTCATCTGAAATTTCATTTCATTTTAACACAATAACATCGTTGTCGTCCAATGATGATGATGACAATAATCATGATTATGGATGATCATTATTCTTCATTTGGATTTACATGACTAAACTTTTGTTTTTTTTTTTGTTTTGGGTTTGTAAAAATTGTTGTTGTTGTTGTTTTGGTTGTTGTTGTTCTTCTTCTTTAACAACAATAATTATATAATGTAAAAAGTATAAGTTTTTTGGTTAAAGATTTTAATGGAATCCAAGTTGGATGTTTGTGTTATGTTTTTTTGTTTTGTTTGAAATTCTAACCACCAGAAATAAATTGATGCCACCAGCCAACCAACCAATTCCATTCTTTAATGATAACGTTGTTCTTCTTCTAATAATAATAATTTTTTTCTGGAAAAAAAACCTTGGATTTATTTAACCCGTTGACACACACACACACACACACACACACACACACAAACACATTATATTAACACAGCAATGATGAAAAGTGTGATACCCATCCATTAAAGCGACATAATATTGTAAAGTATTTACACACTTTGAACTACTTCTTTCTTTTGTAAATTTTGTAATTTTTTTTTTTGGACAGAAAATGTAGAAATTTTTAATTTGTAATTTGTAATTTGGTTGATTTTTTTAAATAAATAAATTATATAGAATAAGAGATTAAAATTGAAATTATCATATATGCGCTACATTATTTAGTTGAGTGCAAGATGATGATGACGAATTAATGTAGCCACTTGATTATCACTAGAATAATCATCATCCGTAAACATTTGATTAAGAATATGATTCATTTTTTTGTTGTTTGTCAATAGCTGATAAACAATCAATCATTGGAATTCTGTTATTTTGGTTTACTAATCAATAATTTTAATAATTTGAATGTATTACCAAAATGATTAACAGAATCGGCTTCTTCAAGAAAACTTCGAAAACTATCCTGTTTGGCTTTACGAATACATCGGACATAATTTTATTACATTACATTATTTAGTTGTAACTTGTGACCATTTGATAAGATTGAATTGCCGATTTCCGTACTGGATGGACAAGAATTGCATTATCGTTCGTCGCATCGTTGATCGTGCCTGACGGCTTGTTTTAAGCAACGTAGTGAATTTTCGAAAAGATGTCGCAAATGTATCTTTTTCAAATCTTATCATACATGATCAAATTTTGTTTAGAAATCGTTTTGGATAATCTGCCTTACCACAAGCTTCAAATGCAGACCTGACGGTGTTAATCCAGGCCAGGAGATATACCCAGAGATGCGTGAACGGTTTTACGATATGAGCTAATCACCAGTCGTTGTGTAGTTCGGACACAGCAACACGTGAAAGATTCCAAATGGTACGGTGAGCTCTTTCTACCATGCCATTGGATTGATGATGGCAAGAATGATCGACTGACTTACGTGCTTGATTACAATGAGGACATTTTTTGTTAAGACCGGTAAAATAAATGCTTCTATCTTGAAGTTTGCATAACATAGCTTCTTCTTGCTGAGAAGAAATGTTTAATTTTCTCAATCATATAAAGATGATTGAATTTTATCAATAATATTATGCACCATCATAAAACACACACAACATCATTACTTTGCAACTGTTTAGACGCAATAACCGTTTATTCTTTTTTTCCTTTTGTTTAGCTTTGAGGAAATTCGAATTAACATGCTTTTTTCTGGATAAACATGTACTCGTCCTGTAACGTCAGTAGATAACGTTACAAATCTTTCCTTACCGGATCTTGTTTGTTTCGACATGAAGGAAATCTTGGAATTTTGTTAATTTTGTTAAAAAATTTTCTTGTAAATTGAAACAATTGTTTTATCATTAAATTGTCAGAAAAAAAAACATTGTCATTTTGGGTGACTGATTGATTGTTGGTTGTCAAAGTATTATGTATAAACGGTGACAGAAATCGAAACTCGAGAAAACAACAAAAAAGTTTTTCGATTCACGATTCACGATTCTTATTATTTATTTATTTATATAAATGTTTTGCGGGTGGAAAACAAAAAAAATAGCTGATCGATTTGTGTGAATGAGATGAGAAGAAAAACTATTCGTTTGTATCGATGATTCAAAAAAGATTTTGGTTCGGTATTTGATTATTCCGGTATGTAGAATCGACGACTGATTGATGGTGTCAACCAACAATTTTCCAGTTTTTCATTCTCTCGCTTTCTCTGGTTAATGGCTACATTTATTCTGCTCTGTTTTTTGTTTTTTTGTTGAATTTCAATGTGACAAGTTTAGTTCTGTTTTGTTGTTGTTTTGACTGGCAGCAAAACTTTTTTTGTTGTTGTTGCTGTTCTGGTTTCATGGTTTTTTTACGATTGATAAGATCTAATAACAAACAAACAAAACAAAACAAACTAGACAAGACAATATTTTTATATATACAAAAAGATGCCATTCTTGTCAAATTACTATTATATGCCATATTGATTCCCGGGATTCTTTTTTTTTTGTTGGCTCCAATTTTGGTTCCTTTTTTGTTGTATGATAATCAAATTTATTACTTGATAGTTTCTATTGTTTCACAGAAAATGGGATACTCTTTGTTTTTTTATATGTTTTCCAGTTGTTGTTGTTGTTGTTGTCATTGTCGTTATTCATCATCATTGCTGTTGCTTTTGTTTTGACAATTTTAATGATAATAACCGAACAAGTAAACAGAGAGTGAGTGAAAACAATATTGCTTTTTGATTTTCGAGGGAAAAAAAATGAAATTCTTTGATTTGTGAATCGTTATAAGAAATGTTTTGTTCATCAGAATTCAAATGATAATTATTATACAACAAAACAAACGCAAATGATTGACATGAATTACAAATTATAATTTTATTCTGAATCGAAAACAAACCAGAGAAAAAAGAAACATTTCTGAATTGACAATTTTTTTTGTCAAAAAATAAAAATTCGAATCCGAAAATTGAAACACCAACGCCATCTATGAGCGGTGAGTAATAATCCTGTTGGAATGTTTTTTTGTTTTTTGTTTTTTTCTTTTGTTTTTTTATTGTCGACATTTTTTTTTGATTGTAAAATATTTTTTGTAATTATCATCATAATCATCATAATAATGATTATTTGATTTGTAAAAATTACTTCCTTATTTTCATAAATTATTGTTTTTTGTAAATAAATAGAACAACAACAAAAAAAATCTCTTTTTTTAATTACAAAGTAATTAGCGAAAAAAAAGCAAAAAAAATCACGTCAAAATTAAATCGAATCAAATGATTCATCCATCCACAGCTTTGAATGAATGAATGATTTCAATTATAACGGTATATATTGGCTTTTGACAAAACAACAACAACAACAAAAATGTTAACCCTTTTTTTTCAATCAAATAAAAAACATTGCATGTGATTTGTGTGATTCTCGTTGCTTATTTTTTTTCATTAAAGTTTCAATCTCTCACTTAACTGTTTTCCATCGTTGTTTTGATTGGTTACATATACCCAAAACAAAACAAACTGTTGCCATTTTCTCTCTCTTCTCTTCAAAACCTACTATTTTTTCATTGCATTCATATTTCTCCATTGGTTACTCTCTCACTCTTTATTTGGGTTGTTGATTATTTCAATCGCGATTATTTTACTGTTTACTGTCATCATCATCATCATCATCAAATGAGCAACCAGATATTCGTCATTATTATCAAATATTTTTAACCCAGTAGCAGTATAGCATCAGTGCAAAACAACAATATTCAATGCTTGTTATTGATCATCTTTTTGAAATTGAAATTCGATATAAATCTCATCCATTATCCATCATCAAAATAATTAATTGATAACTTTTGATTAGAAATTTAATCACATCAATTTGCTTTGTGTTCACCCAATCGATCGATCGATCGATAGATAATATTTCTCCTTTCACACACACAATCGATTGATTTGATTTGATTTATTGGTGATCAAACGATCATTATCATTAAAATAATTATCTTCCATTATTTTGTCTCTATCCATATTCTCCACTCAATACTGATCATCACCCCATCATTCACCAGTACATACACTACACACATTGTACATTCATTTTTTTGGATATTTGTTTTTGTTTTGTTCAAATTGTGTGTGATGAATATCATATGAAAGTTTTTTGTTTTTCTGTTTTGTTTTTCCACATTCATTCATGAAAAATTCATCAGTTTTTTTTCTCATTTGAAGCAACGAAAAATCATTCCTTTCAAGTGAATTTTTTTGTATTTTCTGTTCGTTCTTGTCGTTTGTTGTTGGTTGTTGTTGAATTTGAGTCATTTCACAATCATCATCATCATCAAAGAGTTGAAAAACAACAACCAAACAATTTTTTTTTTGAAATTAACGTCGTCATCGAAATACAGAAAAACATTTTTTCTCTCTCCGTACACTTCATTCATCAGAAATATTTTTGTTCGTTCGTTCATTCATATGTTTTTTGTTTGGCTATTTTGTTGATTCGAAATTCCAAATTGATTGATTGATTGATTGATTGATTGAATTTGTTATTGATGGATACCGAAGATTCAATTATTCAACAACAATTTCAACAACAAATTGAAAATAATCTTAGAAATATGGTCGATAAGCTTGGTATGTATTTCGGTTTTGTTAACCCCCTCGAATGACAACTTGTTGATTGTTTTTTTTTCTTTTCAAAATTAACTAATAGTCGGTACGGAAGAGAATGCTAAACGCATTGCTAATGTTGAAAATTGTTTCGGTGTTAATGGTGTGGTAAGTTTCTTTCTTTTATTGAAATTATCCCTAATTCTTGTGATTGTAATTCTGTTTTCCGATTCCTTTATGACACCCATACGCACTCATAAACAAACAAAACAGCCATTACAGAATCCAGATCGTGTATTAGTTGGTGAAGGTGTTTTAAATAAATTATGTAGAAAAAAATTAAAACCAAGACAAATATTTTTATTTAATGATATTCTTGTTTATGGTTCTATAATAATTAAAAAGAAAAAATATGCACGTCAACATATTATACCATTATCGAATGTAAAAATTGAAGATTATCCAGAAAAAGAAGGTAAAATAAAAATGAATGAATGAATTTCAATGATTTTTAATTTGGTAATTTTAATTTTCAGATCATGCATGGTTAATTCGTTCACCAACCAAATCATTTATGTTATATGCAGCAAGTGAAATTGAAAAAAGAGAATGGATTAATCATATTAACATGTGTATTAAACATGAACTTGATAAAAGTAAATATATTCATATTCAAATTGTCAAATATTTTTGATTCATCATATCTAGGCAACGGCTATTTTCAAATTGTGAAATCTCATAAGTTGAAAAAGAAAATATTTTTACATTTCCGTTTGGATGCAACTTTTGTTCATTTTCTTTCCTTGTTTTGTTTTGTTTTGTGTTGCACACATTCTTGAATTATTATTTTTATCATTTTTTATATTACAGAAGGAAATTCCAATTCAAATATTGAACATGCAGCTCCATGGTTACCGGATAATCTTTCAAATCAATGTATGCATTGTAAAAAAACACAATTCACCGTTATTAATCGTCGTGTAAGTGTGATTCATTCATTTATATTTTTTTTCCAAATTTCAAATGACATTTATAAGAAAAACAAACAATGTGTAATATGATAATGTTGTTGACTATTTGATAATTGAATTGATGACTAATAATTCTTTTCCGGTGCTTTTTTATCATTTTGTTTTTGTTTTTTTATTGTAGCATCATTGTCGAAAATGTGGTCTAATTGTTTGTGGTACATGTTCGAAAAATAATTATCTATTAACAAATATTAGCTCAAAACCAGTACGTGTTTGTGATAAATGTTTTGATGAATTACAAATTCGTGATCGTATGGCAAATAATGATTTTGGTTTTGGTCAACAAAATGATGATTTAACGTCAACAAATGATCAATCATCCAATCATGATAATGATAATGGTAATAATATTCAACATCAAAATAGTAATGATTCATCCGATTCGGATAGTAATCTAAATATAATGGATTTTAAGGTAAATTTTTTTTGTTTTTAAAAATCAAAATATTCTCATCATTTTAATGATTTTTTCCTTTGTCGTCCATCGTTAGCCAACATTTTATAGCCATTCAACAACGGCACCTAAATATTAAAATGAAGAAGAAAAATATCAACGATTCAAAGCCAAAACATTATATTTTTCCGCTCCGATCAACAACAACATAACCTTCATAATCATAATCATCATTTTCTGAATTATTTCATTCAACATTCTTTACTTTTCATACATTCATGGAATTCAGGCCAATCAGTCATAATTGAAATTGACTGTTGTGTATTTAACAGCGATTTATATATTAAAAATCCAAATTTTATAAAATTTTTATAATTCTTTTTTTTTAATTATTCCACTAATTTTTGCATCATGCACGAATATATTTTTTTTATAAATAAAAATGATTTTAACAATTTGAATGGAAAGAAATCAAATTTTTCTTTGTTGTTTCTATCACTCAATCAATACATTTCTTTATTTGATTTTTGTGGTAAACGTTTATCAGCCATACGATCGATTAATTCGAAAAATGAAAATCGATCATGTTGATAATATTCTGGACAATTATATTGATCATTACGAAATTGTTCTTCGGGTTCAGCTTTGGATGATTGCGGTGGTGGTGTAATTTTAGCCGTTGTTTTCTTCTTATTTGAAGATGAAGCTGGAGAAAAAAAAAACATTTTCGAATTGAATAAAGTTTTTGAATGAAATGAAAATACATTGTAAACAAACCTGATCCAGATTGACCACCAGATTTAGCAGCCGTATTATATACAACACGTGTAAAACTTGTCAGATTACGTCTGATGATCATTTTGTTTTAATCAATAATCGGTTTGGCCAAGAAAATGATGAAAATGATGAAAATTGAAAATTATCTGCCCTTCACCAACAAAAACAAACAAACAAACAAAACATTATTATAATGATTCATAGATGGCGATGTATGGCTGATATTTTCCAAATAATCGATTATTTCGTCCATCATTCTTAATTGTTTTAGTTTTATTCCTTTGGATTTGTTTTTTTTTGAAAATTTTGTTTTTTTAAAAAAAATTGACAATCGTTTTTTGAAAATTCCAATAGATTTTATCATTAAATTAATCAGTTATGGAGCAACAAGTTGAATCTGGTGAAACTTATGTTATTCTTCAACCTGTCACACAACAAATAGTGATTGATCCAAATTCTAGATCGGTAAAAGTTTTTTATTTTGTTTTGTTTTGTTTTTTGAGTTTTCGAATACTCATAACTTCCTTTCAAAGATTACCAGCATATTAATGGATCGAACTTTATCACAAAATTATGATGTACAATCAATGTTAGAATTATTCACATCCGAATTGCCTGAAGATCAATATATTCCGGATATTATTAAACATCGATTTTCACGAATCATTTCCTGTTATATTTTACTTTATAATGGTGATAAACCATCACGTGCCGTATTGAAACATTATTCGGAAAAAATTGTAACCGAATTTCCTAAACTAGGACCAATCGTATGTTTACTTTTAACAACAAATTTTCTATCGTTAATTTTTATTTTCTCTTCAAAATATTAGTCAGATTGGTATCAACGAGCCAACATTCAAGAAGGATATAAAAACGATACCGGAAGATTGGTTCGATGTATTGATAATATTCGTTATCAACAACGTCAACGTCTAAAACAACCTGTGACACAATTAGAAGATCCGGATCAATTGAAACGAAAACGAAAAACAACTATATGTACATATCCAGATTCAAATGAAATGATTACGGCACAAAGTTTGGTATGTTTGTTATTTTTCGCCATTTTTTGTTTTGATTTACAAAAACAATTTTGTTTTTTTAAAAAAATAATCAGAAAGAACATTTAAAAACTGTGAAAGCTAAACCCGAAATCAAATATTTAATTATCAATAATATGCGTGCAACATTTTGTCTACGTAAAATGATGCGTTCACAAGGTAAAACCATTATGGATTTTATTACCGAATTTCCACATCTTATCCAATATAATGGTGAAATGGTATTGAATGAATTTTCATGGATGTATCCAGATTATTCTGATATTGATTCGAAAAATCGTTTCAATAAATGTCGTGAAAAATTATTGACAATCTTTTCTCGAATGAATCAATCATTGAATCTAAATGTTTATAATGATTTTTTCAAAATGTTAATAGCCATTATTCTTCGATTACCACGTGGATTACCAGCCAAAAAAGCAAATAAAAATGTACCACCTTTAGTTGATTTATTCGAATTTATGACTGTAAGTTTTATTTCTCAATAAATGTCAGATGTTTGGAATATTTTTTTGACCAATTCTAAATTTCTATAGATGGACGAATATCAACGAAAATATGTCAATAATTCAATTTCATCATTCATTCGACCACATTTGATAATTATTAATTCGATTGCCTATACCGAAGGTGAAATGTTTTTAGTATTCGATTCACATAATCGTACACCATTACCAATAATGATGAGCCTTTTGGATGCTTTCTTTTTATTGATCAAATGTTATATCGTATTCAATCTTCAACCACCACCATATCAAATATATTTATTTAATTTTATTCAAACAAAAATTATGCATTGTACCGAACGAAGACCATATGCTAAAATTAATGATTTAGCTGATTTTATTGAAAAGGCAATCATTTACAATGATGATGATAATGATCATTGAATTTCATTTTCTCATTTCTCCTATTTACATTGTGATATATTTAAACAAAAACACCCATTGATATTTCAATAATACTTTCAAATTTTTATTGGCAAAAAAATAGTATGAAAATTAAGAGAAAAACATTGTCATTGAATAAAAATGGCATGCGAAGAAGAAGAAGAAAAAGTATACAAATTCACGATTATTTTTGTTACAATAAAATCCAAAATGAAAATAAAAAACAAATTGAAAAGAAATGATGCTGAAATGATGATAAACAAAAATCGCGGTTGTGCATTTCAATGTTGGTCAATTCAAAATAAAATGTTATGGTTTTGTTTGATGGACAGGATTGTTCTGTGATGATGATGAATTTTTCAAAAATCAAAAGAAGAAGAAAAAAAATCAAATTCAATATATGCTGGTTTAGATGATCGAAAATTCAAATCAAATCCTAATTTTTTTTTTGATTTGAAAATTTAGAAGAAAAAAAAACATTCAATGATATAATATGTCGGTGTCTTAAGCGTTTTTGTTTTGCTGTTATTGATGATTGATGATTTTGAGTGTAGTTGTGTGTGTGTGTGTGTGTGAATGGAACAAATAATAATAATATCGATTCATTGGCACTAATATAAAATCATATTGATTGAGTATATTGTGAAGAAGTGAAATAATAGTGGATTTTTGGTGTTGCTGGTGAAGAAATGATCATCATCAAATATTTTTTTCTCACTAACAAATTTGTTTCTTTCATCCAAATTCTTTGGTTTTTTGATATATGTACAAGAAAATGATTTTTTTTACGGACAAATCATTTCTTTTCTTATTATTATTTTGAATTATAAAAATGGTCCCCATTCAATTTCCAAAAATGAATAAAATTATTAGACCCATGAATCACCAGCTGGCATTGAAGGAGGATAAATTGGTTCATTGGTTGTTGGATCTAATAATACATTATTAACATTATGATATTGGCTACCATTACTATTTGGTGAATGATTTATATTTGAATCAGCACCACCATTCATAGGATGATTAGGTGGTGGTGGTGGAGGAGGTGGCTGTGAAGGTGGAATTGATTGTGTTGGTGAATTTTGATGTAAATGATTTAATTGTTGCTGTTGTTGTTGTTGTTGTTGTAATTGTTGACGTTTACGTTCACGATTCACTTGAGCGTATACTGGTTCGCCGGGTAGCTATTATAATATATTTGAAATATATGAAAGTTAGACAAAAGAAAAAATTTTTTTCGATGAAAAAATAAAAATTCCAGAATAAATGAGCAGATGTTGTACAGATATTTTTAGGAGAATATGTAGATGGATTGATAATGAAGAGAGAGAGAGACAGAAAAAAGGAAACAAATAGCAAGCAAAAAAAAGCGAATGACTAATGATTATTTATCATTTTGGGCAGTCGATGTGATCGCTTGTGATTCACGATTAACCATTGAAGAAGATGTGACAGTGACCATACCAGATGTGGATGATACTGGAAGTGAAGCACCACTTGTTGCTACCATCATTGTTGCTTGTAACTTTTTTGTTCAATGGAGGAAAATAAAAAACGAGCAAACACAGAAAAAGGAAAGAGGAAGAAAAAAAAGCACGAAATAGAATTTGACAAAAATGGCAGAATAGGAAAAAAAAGATAGAGTCAGGTTAGAAATAAAAACGGATTGAAGCATATCAGAAAATTAAAAATGTTTAAACATGCTTGAAAAGAAATAAAAATCAATCAAATTGAATACATACCGTTCCGGGTGGAAATATCGGAACACCACCAATTGGTGCACGTACTAATGTTTGAGTTCCGTTCGCAACAGCACGACCATCAATCATATCGGACATAAGCATTTCTTCATGCATCTATAATAATGAAAACCAATAAATATCATTGTAAAAATATTCAATAAAAACTAACCCTTTGTGACATCATTTGTTGCTGTTGATGTTGTCCAGATCGTGATAATGTACCAGTACCATCAACACCACGATAATGTCCATGATCTTCATATTTAGTACCGCCAACAGTTGACATTGGACGACTCAATGTATTGTTGGCACTGATTGAATGATAGAATCCTGAACCAGGTAAGGCTCCATTCGTTGTAGGTGTTGATGGTATCATCATAGCAGATTGTGATGGTGTCATCATCATTTGTTGTTGATTACCACTTGGCCCATTCACAGATCTTGTTGATGTACGTGAAGATTGATTAGCAGCTGTTGTATGTTGTGATATAATAAAATGAGATTCTTTCCAACCAGCTTTTCGATAAACATCTCTTAATTCGGTATGTTGCCACATATTGTACAGTAGCTGTAATAAAAAAAACCAATTAAGGTTGATTTTAAATCAATAAACAATAATGATTCGATCCATACCTGACAAGTAAATTTAACTACACGACTGGAAAAACGATTCCGATGTTTAGTGATTAATGTTAACCGTTGCATACCGCCAGCTTCAAGCATTGATTTGGCAAAATCAGGATTACGAGAAATCACTTCATTAAGTGTGGCCAAAACAGCAGCTACAGTATCATCACTGGTTCCAGTTTCCAATGGAATACCTGTGGCTGATGGAGCCGGTAATTTTGAAACTAAATCTTTGAGGGCATATTTGCCAATCAATTCTTTGTTTCGTGTATCCATAGCTAGATTACGAAGTGCAGTGGCCACAGCACAAACAACACGATCAACTTCCATTCGAAGTAATTCAACAAGAATAGGAAGACCTTTTTCTTTACGAACAGCACCACGAATATCGATTGATGGCTGCCAATAACATGCAGCTAAATTTTGAATAGCACCTGCAGCTGCTTCTAAAGTTTCTGGATTTGAACATTCGGATAATAAAGCCAAATATGGTTGTACTACATCAGTTTGCCATAATAATTCCATTCCGCTTCTTGGACCATTCGAATTCAACGTAAGATTAGCTGTTTTTGATTCTATTCAAAATAATTTTTTAAAAAATCAATAAAAAAAATTTTTAACAAAATAAAAAGACTTACCTAAACCTGATGCTGAAACTGATGGTGACATAGTATGTGAACTATTTTTTGATTTGTTCTTTTTTGATCCACCAAAACAGCTAATATTTTCACCAACTTTTGAACTGATTCCACCCATTAATGAAGAAGTAGAATTTTTCGATGATGATGATGAAGATGGTGATAATGTTGATGATGATGGTGAAGCTGTTGATGTTTGTTGCGATGATGGTGATGAATATGATGTATTTGAAATATTATTAGCGTTTGGTGGATGTTTATCATAATCAGGATCAACAACCTCTTGACAACGATAGCTTAAATTTCGTAATATACAAACACAATTTTCCACTGATTTATTATCCATATCATTTTTACCAATAGCTGCACGTACTAAAAATAATAACGAATCAACAAGACCTTCACATTCACGAAGACGACGGCGAGCATATTCACCGGCCGATGAAACATTCCGTACAACACCGGAAGCATTTCGAAACACTGTTGACCAATAGATTGGTTGTTGATGTTGTTGAACTTGTGATGGTTGTTGTTGTGGATTATTACGATCCCAACCTGAATGCGGTATAATTACTGTAGACACTAATACTTGTAATGCATCATCAATAATTTGTCTTTTTAAATCTTCACATGAACTAAGATTCCATAATACACTGGTTACTAATTCACGAATTTCATTATCAGGAGTTTTTCGTAACAATCTTACTAGATTTGGTATGCCTCCTGCTGCACGAAATGCTCTTTTGTTTTCATCATTTTGGCGACCATAGCTAAGATTTCTTAGCGCTCCGCATGCATTTCGTTGAATTTCGGGTACATCTTGAGCAAGTAAATTTATCAAAGCCGGTATACCACCTAATGCTCTTGTCTTTGCTTTCATACTGTCATCCATGAAACAAAGATGTTGTAAATAGGCAGCAGCATTGGCTCGAACAATACTATTCGGATGGGTTAGAAATTCGATCACTTCATGTAGATCAGGATCACGCCATCGTACACCATCAGGACCTATAGCTGTGACAGCAGAGGAACCAGGCGCAACACCACCACCACCTGGCATTGGACCGATTCTAGGAGGTCCACCTGGACCGCCAGGAGCTCCAGATGATAAAACAGTAGCACCATTTTGAAAAAATACAGCTGCTTGTTGTGGATCCATAGCGATACCAGCTTGTTGTAATGCGTGTAGATGCTGATAAGCAGATTCAGCATCTTCATACATGGCTGCTGTCATAGGTGGCATTTGTCCACGAGTAGGATCCATCATTTGACCATATGTAACAGAACCAGGAGGTGGACCGGTAGTATCATCATAGGTTTGTCTTCGATCTAGATAACCTTGAGGAGCATCTTCAGCACCGAAATTTCCGTAGATAGCTGCCGATGGTGAATGCATTACACCTTGTGGCGGTCCTCCAGCAGCAGCATTTATCGGTATCTGTATAGTAGAATTATGATTTGCACCTGCTGGAACATAACCATAGACTGCACCCGGTGGTGGACCAGCAGCCATTTCGGCTATATGTCTTCGAATCGGAGGCTGAGGAGATGCGGATGTATGATCAACATTCATCGGACCATTTTGGTTTTCATGATGTGACGTTAGATCTTGATAATTACTAAAATTTGAATAATCCTGATAACCGATCTAAATTGAATGAATGAAAAATCAATACAACTCATTATTCAAATTTAATTACAAAACATACCTGATTATTGCGTGCATATGGATCATATATTGCTCTTGTATTGACAACAAATGGTGCGGCTGCTGTAGAACCAGTTGTTCCAGTTGAAACAGAACCTGGACTAGGACTTGATGCCATTTGATGATGATGATGTTGTTGTTGTTGCTGTTGTTGTTGTTGTTGAAGTAATTTTTGAAAATTCGTATTGCTATAATGAGGATCGTATATATTTTGATTATTATAATCAAAATTATTATTATTATTATTCGATTGTTGTTGTTGTTGTTGTGATTGATTATTTACAACATGATGATGATGATCTTGACCATTATTAATCATTTTTGGTCCAGGAAAATTACTATATTCATTTGTTGATGAATCATTATTATTTTCATTATTATTATCAATATTGATACCAGGTGAAACAGATGTTGTAGCTGCTATAACCTGACTATTACTATTATTATTAGATTCAATTGGTTGACCATCCGGTCCAATATGACGTATTTCACGTGTTGTATAAACTTTGGTTATTGTTTTGACTTGCTGTGTTTTGACTTGTTGTGTTGTTCTTGATAATAGTTGAGCATTTTCTGGTACATCATTTAATATACCATTATTTGTTGTTGATGATGTTGCTGCTGTTGAAGCTAATGTTGTTGTTGTTGGATTTTGTTGTTGATCATTTTGAATACCATCATCATTTCTATTATTATCATTGTTTGATGATGATAGATTTTCCTGATCATTTTTTGTTGATGATGAATTTTGTTGTTGTTGTTGTTGCTGTTGTCCATCTAAATTATTACTATCTGTAGCCATCGTTTTAGATGTTGTTGTTGTTGACATAATTCGTTTTGTTGTTGTTTGAAATTCCTGTTGTGATGTTGAACATTTCAATTTTGGATGATCATCTTCATAGATCACATGGTGTTTTAAATTTTTTATATCCAAAATATCATCATCATCTGAATAACGATATGTTCTATACACACATAAAGATCAGATAAAAGAGAAAAAAAAAGAGAATGGTTAAATTCCAAAAATAAACTAATTTCAACAAAGCAGAAAAAAAAATTTCATTTCCTTTTACAAACAAACAAACAAACATTCAAACAACTTTTGAAGAAAAAGCAAAATGTGAGAAAAGCCAAATTTCATTCATTAGTGACGATCAAAAAAAAGCGATTGCCGAAAAGCATTTCTAAGCTTGAAGACAAAAAAAAAACAACAACAAATCTTTGCACACATAACGGTAATTTGTTGTTGTCGTTAGGATAAAAAAGGGAGAAACAAAAAAAATGTTATTTAGCCGCTAGTAAATTAGAGTTATTGGGCATTTTTTTGTCTTGTATCAATGAGAAAATCACATTCGTATGGGTCAATTATTATTTTCCCTTTGAAAAAAAATATTTAAGCAAGAAAAAACATCATCTAAAAGCATAAAAGATAAAACTAATGATGAAAAAACAAAAAGATTCAAATCCTGTCATCATCCGATAGATTCAATCAATTTGCTATGGTGCAATATAGAAAATTATTCATTACAAAAAACAAAACAAAAATGAAAAAAACCTTTCAATTTTTTCCAATTTTTCTTTAATCAAATGCTTTGTATCGATTATTTTCGATTCAATTTTACGATCGATTATACTTTTGATTAATTAATTAATTAATCAATCGATAAGTATGGAAAATTCATAGGAAAAAAAGCAAAAAAATACCGAAATACCGATGAAGACAAAACATGTGTACAATTTCCGAAATTTGATGATGATGATGACAACATGACGGTAACAAACAAACAAATACAAAAAAAGAAAATAAAGAAAGGTTAGGCGTATATTTTTACAAAAGTAAAAAGGAAACGGAAACACTTACATTTGGGTAGGATCCATATTGTTTGGTTACAAACAAACAAACACAAAAAAACATGGATAGATTTTGATAGATAAATTAAACAATGAAACAAAACAAAAAATGTTAAAATATCCAAACAACCGTTGGTGGTCGACAAAAAGAATGGTGTTTATGATTGAGGAATGATGACTGACAAAACAAAAAAACAATGAAGATTCATTACAAACACAACAGGATTCTTTGTAACAAAAAAATATGATATGATATGATACAAGCAGGAAACAAAAAAGTAAAGAAAAACATTTACAGCTTTCAATGAATTCTATTTGCCAAAAGAATCTTGATTATTAATTACCAATGATGATAATGATGAAAGGAAAATAAAATTAAAATTCTAATCAATAAAAGAAACAAAAACTTGGATAGTTATTTTCACATTAACAAAGTTTAGCAAAGTAAATAATAATAAAAAATCATTATACACACAAATGTGTAATTCATTCATTAATCCATCAATCAATCAATAAATGAATCAATCAATCAATCGATCGATCGATTAAATCGATCAAATCACAAACACAGAAAGAAGAATTGAAACCTTTGATGTTACAGATTTTTTTAAAAAAATCAAAAGCTAAAAAAAGGGTGATTTTTTTCCTGTTGAAAGAAAAAATTCTGCAAACATCCAAATATAGATTCTATTTCTACTTTTTTGTTTATCAGATTTCCAAAACGAAAGAAAAAATTTTCACAATTCTAATCCGATTATCATCTGCTATGTTTATTTCGATGATGATGATCACCATTACTCTATCATAGGAAATTAAGCAAAATTTTGAATTCATCATCATCATCAGAGATAACATTCATCGTCTATTTTAGTTTGGTTTGGTTTGAACATTATCGGATAACGCAAGCAAAAAAAGAAAATCTTTCCCAAATCTGTCTTTCTTCAACAAAAAAAAAAGCAAATTTTTCAACTAAAATTCACAAATCAAAAGATGTCATCTTTTTTTTAAAAGAAAAAAATTTTAAAATTTCAGAAAAAAAAGAAATAACCTCCCTAATACAAGTGAAAAAGGATAAAACATTTTGACTGATTTTGTTTATCTCCCTATTTTAGTTCTTTCACACAAACTGTCAGTAGAAAACAACAAATGCGAAAGTAAATGCGAAAATAAATGTCATTTTTCCATAAGAAAATATTGATGATCAATGTGTGACATCCATATCAGGAAAACCCGATATGATCTGTGATCATTAAATGTCATTGCTGAAAAACATGTGAAAAATATGTAAAAGAAAAACATTAACATTTTTTTCTCAGTTTCAAATGATAAACCAGAGACAAAACATCAAAATCATCATTTCTAATCATCATAGATCCATGTCATAGATTTGAAACAAAAACATTGACATTTATCATATTGAATTCAATCAATGAATGAATAAATGACAAGACATGATGATGATGATTGAAGGATGATATTTATGGCTAAAGAAACAAACAAAAAAAATTATTGCACCAGAAAAAATGACAAACCAATAAAATTAGTCATCCAAAAATTAGCCAAAGTAAAAAAAACCTTCAATGCAAATTGAATGCAATAACACATCATCTCTCCCGAACATTGACATGATGATTAACCTTTTTTTTCTGATGAAAAAAAAACTTACCAAAACAAAATGTTTGATGATGATAATTGATATGATTGAAGAAGATCTAATGCATCTGGATCATTAAAATTAATTTACCAAATGTGGATTCATTAATAATCATTTCAACAGCAGAAGAAAAAAAAAATTTCAATCATCAACACACACACAATATGTTGATTTAATTGATTGATCGATCGATGATGGCAAAAAAAATCTATCATTAACGAATGATGAAAATTGAAAAAATTGAAAAAATGCACGCAACAAAAATTGAATAGAAAACACACAAACAAAGAAAGAAATGGCCAACAACAACGACAAAGACTTTCTAAAATGTCATTCTCTCTGTGTCGAAAGACATTCAATCAATGGAATGGATGATGATGATGATGAATATAGTTTTTTGGAAAAATAAGAGAAAAACAAAAATCAAATTAAAATGGGCGAAACATTGAATTTGGTCGACAAAAAATAACAACAACAACAATGATGATGATGATGATCGAGAAATTGAAATGAGAAAATCTTTTCGTTTTTTTTCGTGTAAATGTGATGCACGAATATTTTGACGCTCGTCGATGATTTTGTTGTTGTTGTTGTTGTTATTGTCGATTCCAAGGAAAATTGAAATGGAAAAAGAAACATTCACCAAAAATAATTACCGAATTGTTTTTTGTTTCAAATTTTTTATTATTATTCTTGGATTCTATTATATATCTTTATTCATTCATTCATTCATTCATTCGTTGTTTGCGGCAGTTTTTCACATATAGAATTCTTTACATTATTATTTTGGAATTCTTTATTCTTATGGCACCGGGTATAAGTGTGTGTGTGCGAGTATATAAGTATGATGGAGAATGGATCCGAAAAACAAAACAAAAAACAAAATTATTATAGAGTTTACTCAGTTATTATCGATGATGATTATAATGTTGTTGGTGGTGATTCGAATACAATAATAACAACAACAAGAAAAAGTTTGAGTTTGTTGAATTCTATGTTTGTTCGTTTGGTTGATTTATCCAATGATGAAGACAATATTGATGATTGTGGTGGTTTGACCCGGCACAAATATTATTATTATTGTTATTTTACAACAATAATACTGGATCCTAGCAAAACAACAATGAAGAATCGAAATTCTTTTCCACAACAGAAAAACAAAATATATATACAAAACACACACAATATACGAACATAAACAATTGGATTATCAACAAGAATTCATCGTGGTTTTTCTTTTTATCATTTTCATTGATTCAGAATTGTAGTAGTAGCAATAATTATTTATAGTCGAAAATGATTCGGGATTTTTAAATTCAACAATATTTAAATGGAATCGGATGATTATATGGCATCTATTGACGATTCTGTGTGTGTCGGTGGTAGCAACCGAATTTTCTGGTTAAATGTTCATATATTGAAAACAAAGTATATATGGAGCCCGAAATGATGTTTTTTAATTTTATTTTGAAAGAATAAAATTGACGCGTCAAAAAATACCCAAAACAAAACAAAAACAACAAAAAAACGATGAAAAAGAATTGAATATTGGATTCGAGTTTGTTAGTTTTACAAGTGTATTTCTTGGGTAAACAACGAATACAAGTGTGTGTGTTTGTGAGTATATTCCATTGGATAGTAGTAGCATTAATTTAGTGTAAGAATCTTCGAATTTCCTGAATAAAATAGTAGTAGTAGTAGTATTGTTGATAGTTGTGAATACACTTGTATTCGAATGCTAGCAGTAGTTTTTTTCATATATATCCACCAGTGTGTGCCATGGGAAATGACCATTTTTTTTGACCATTTTTTTTTTTTTGAAAAATGTTCGAATAGTAGTGGTCAATATTGATTCATTCAAAAAACACCCCCTCTGTTCTATTTTTTTTGCCACTAGTTTTCGAACATGAAAAAAATAAAAATAAAGTTTTTGAATATATTGGTCATCACTATTATCATTCATTCATCAAACATTCATCAAATGAAATGTGATGTGAAAATCGGCGCATCTCTATCTCTACCCGGCTAACGGGATATGTATTTTGTCAAAAGAAGAAAAGAAGAAAAAAGTTTCCATTCGTTTTGTCGTTTGTTCTCTTTTCGTTTTGAATTTGAATTTTTTTTCGATCATCATCCAGTTTGAAGAGCCAAGTAATCCTCAAGAGAATGTGACAGGAGATAAAAAAAACAAATTAAACAACAACAGCAAACGGATGAGAAAACTCGAGAAAAAAAAGCCAACTTTTTTTTTGTTGTCCGATAAACTACTTTGGGTAATTTGAGAGAGTGAACAAAACCAAACCAAAAAAGAAGAAGAATCTCTTTTCGAAAGAGAAAAACTGGACAATTGACCCGAAAATACGGACAAATTCGGGAAAACAGAAAACATAAAGAAAGAGACACTGATGACCGAATATTTTGGCTTTTATCCGATCATGATTTTCTCACAAGTTTTGAAGCAAAGACAGTTCCCGATGAAAGTTTTTTTTTAAAAATAAAACTTGGCCATCAAAATTCGATCGAATTGTTATGATGATGATGATGATCGAAATGATCGATTGCCCAAAAGCAATGATGAATGAAATGAGAAAAAAAAATTTTTCAATCAATCAGGGCGATCATTATCTTCACCGAACAAATGAATGAATGGTGTCAATGATGTTTATTTCAACGCCCAAATCTTCTCTCCCCCTTTAACAAATTATTTTCTTTGATTATCATCAGGTTGGTTGATGATGATGATGATGATGATGAAAGAATTCGATCAAATTTTTTCCTGGATAAGATGACCAACGACGACGACATAAGTAATGTCACTTTGAAAATGTATGTATGTGACACTTTTTTTCTCGCCTTTTGGTGACAAATTATGAATTATCTTCAACAAAAAAAAAGAAGAAAAACATTTTCGGTTGCACCCTGAATTATCATTATTTTTGTATCTTTTATTCGGTTTTGCATCACATTTCACTATTCACACTGTGTTTATGCATTCCAACGGGAAAAAAAAATGTTTTTTTTTTTTGAAGAAAATCCAAAAATGTAGAGCAAAACAATTGAACAAACCAAACCAAACAAAACAAACAAACAAATCATCGATACGTGAGTAGAATGATATTTTCGAACGTCAAAACATTCGAAATGTAAATATTATTTATGAAAAAAAGGAAAGGAAAGGAAATATCGTATTTTCAGCAAACAAAGTGACTGTTCAAATAAAACGTGACAAGACTTGATTCGAATGTTTTTACTGTTGTTCACATTCGAAATAATAACAACGAAGATAAAAAAAAAATTGTAATTTTTTTAATGATAATCATCGTTTAATAATGGTAATTTATTAAAATCGAAAAAAAAGAAAATACCGAAAAGAAAAAAATGTAAAGAAGAAATTTGTCATCGAAATTAATCATTTTTTTGGTTGCTCAACAGTCCCACCATCATCATCATCATCAAAATAAATAAAATTTATTGATTCAAATCGAATGTTATTCGTTATCATTTTTTTATCATTTTTTCATTGATTCCATTGTATCGACAATAATATCAACACATTCATTTAATTCATTTTCATTGATTATTAATGGTGGTGCAAAACGTATTTTATCACCATGTGTTGGTTTAGCTAATAAGCCACGATCACGCATTTCTAAACACATTTTCCATGCATCATAATCTTTACGTATAATAACAGCATTTAATAAACCTTTTCCACGTATACCGATAGCAACATCTTTTGGTAAACGTTCATTTAATAATTTTCGAAATAATTGTCCCATTTTTTCAGCATTTTCGGATAATTTTTCTTCAACAATAACTTTCATTGCTGTTAATGCAACTTTCATACCTAATGGATTACCACCATATGTTGAACCATGTTCACCCGGTTTAATTGTTAACATAATTTCATCATTAGCAACAACACCGGATACAGGATAAACACCACCAGATATAGCTTTACCTAAACAAATCAAATCTGGACGTACATTTTCATGATCAACGCATAACATTCGACCAGTACGACCAATACCAGTTTGTACTTCATCAGCAATCCATAAAACATTATATTTTGTACATAATTCTCGAACACCTTTTAAATAACCATCATCAGGTACAACAACACCAGCTTCACCTTGTATTGGTTCACACATATATGCTGCAATTTGATCACTTTCTTCAGCTAATTTTCTTTCCAATGCATCCAAATCATTATATGGTATTATATCGAAACCAGGCATAAATGGACCAAAACCTTTATAAGAACTTGGATCAGTTGATGCTGAAATAGCTGCTAAACTTCTTCCCCAAAAATTATCCTGTGCAAATACAACTTTAGCCTTATAATATGGTATTCCTTTAACATCATATGCCCAACGACGTGCTAATTTTACAGCCGAATCACATGCTTCAACACCAGTATTCATTGGTAAAAATCTTTGATAATTAAGTAATTTTGTTATATATTCAACAAATTCACCAAGAACATCATTGAAAAATGCCCGTGATGTTAATGTTAATATTTGTGATTGTTGATTTAATGTTTCAATAATTCTTGGATGACAATGACCTTGATTAACAGCTGAATATGCTGATAGAAAATCATAATATCGTTTTCCTTCAACATCCCAAACATTGCAACCTATAAGAAATCGGAAAAACAAAATGAAAAAATCGATTTTCAATAACGAGATAAGAAATCAATTGGCAAACAAATATCTATTTTTTCCTATCGATTTTATCATCAATAAACAAAACAAACATACCTTTACCACGTGATAATGCTACCGGTAATGGATGATAATTATGTGCACCATATTTTTCTTCACGTTCAATTATTTCGGCTGTTGTTGTTAATGGTTGATTATTTAATGGCTGTTGTTTTGTTGCCGATTGAATCAATCGTATTGTTGATGAATTATAAATTTTTCTTAAACATAATTTACTTGTTGACAACATCTTGACGATAATAATAACTTTTTTGTTACAATGTTTTATAAAAAAAGGTAAGGAATAGAAACTTTTTGATGATCAAAACAGAAACTTTTTTTCGAAAAAGATTTATGTTAAAAGGAAAAAATTTTCCGATTTTTGTTTGTTGTTCGGATGTAAATGTAAAATGATAATGAAAAAATGATGATGATGTTTGTCATTAACCAAATCAACGTGTCTATTTATACTTTATAAATGTTTCTTTCATTTTTTTCCTGGCCATGGTAGTGTTAAAATTATCAAATCTTGAAATATATCGCACACAACTGGTCTTATCATCAATATTTATCATGTGAAAATATTTATGGTGGTGATGTATGCCTGTGCGTGTGTTTGTCTTATCGACAAATTCATTTCGAATGTTGTTTTTTTGGCATTCGATTTCGAATCAACCACGACCACAACGACAATCTGATCATTTTCCTATTGATAATTGATTTTTTATCCCGAGTTTTTTTTTCCGAAAAAATTCTTGTTTGCAAAACTTTTTTTTTCGGTAAATCTGTTTTCGTAATCAAACAACGATAATCATTATCATTTTATCATTTAAGTTAAAGGAATTTTTTTGTGGTTGTGGTGACACATTCATCGTTGATTGACGATGGATAAAGCTTGTGAACAAAAAAAAACCTGATGAACAAGTTTTTGGTGACAACTTTCTTTTTTTTCTTGATTGAAAAATTCATTTTTCAATTGAATTCATAATGTTAAAGTCTCAAGTTTTGTTTTTTTCAGGTTCAATTTGTTGCAATCCAAAAAAAATCATTTTTTTTTTTTTTTGATTTTCGATTTTTGGATTTTGATTTGGGACCAGTGACAGAAAAAATGTAGCAATACCGAGACCAAGACTCAAAAAAATACAGGAGCAAAGTTTGGAATAACAACAACAACGCTTGTTCTATTGAAAACCAAAGAATTTTCAAAAAAATATCCATAGTTCAATGGTAAAATGAAATTGCAATCAACCAAAAAAATTTATTCAATGCTTTTGCTTTGTTCCCTTATCCTCATCAATTTCAATTTCAAAATCCAAATCAATCAATAAAAAAGTCAATAATTTTATAATAACTTATCAATCAATCAATCGATCGATACGATCAATGAATCTCTGTTTGATTTGATTTTGATTTTTGATTTTTAAAACAAAAAAAAAACTATCGATTGTTACATTGAACATCGAATAGATGGCGTTCATATCGATTATTCAAAAAAAAAATTAGCCCCGCCTTCTTTATATGACCGTTGGGAAATTTTTTTTTCCTTTTGCCATTGATGGCCAATGGAATAAGGCGCCAAAAATGATTGGCTATTTTAGCAACAGATGAGCTATGTGTGTGTGTTTTGTGTTTGTGTCTCGTGATTGAACTTTCACTTTGTTTTTTTTTGTAACCAAAGATTATTTTATATGTGTGCATGTGATATTTGTTGACATATTTTTTTTGTTGATAATTTCCCAAAATAAAAAAAAAATGACAGATAGATTTTGTAAATATCATTCAGCTACTATACCGATACCGGAACCACCAAGAGTGAGTGATTTGATTGTTTTCAAGTTAATTACTGATTTTTCAAATTGATTTTTTTATAATTCGTAGATTGTTCCAATACAACCATGGATACAAGATGATTCAATTGATTTGAATAAAAATCATCTAACAACAACAATTCATCCAAATAAAGATACTATAAAACAATTCAGGAGAAAATTTGGTATCATAACTGGTGATCAAATTGATCCTGAAGATTCATTAATCGAAGATATTAAACTGATTGATTTGAATAATGATGATGTTGAAATGAAAAAATCAGCGACGAATAAGCGTTGTGATCATAATCTTCAAAATCAATTGCAAAGAATGCAGAACGATATTCGAAATCAATTGACAAAATTACATGAAAAATCGAATGATTCGAATCGATCAACATCAGACAATTTGGAAAATAATTGTCTAATATCAACGACGCCTAAACAATTATTCGAATGTATACGAAAACAAGATGAAAGATTAGATTTAATAAATAAAAAAATCGATCAATTAATACGATTACAGCAATCATCAACAATCAAACAACAAATTGAACAATCCATATGTACAACAACAATACAACAAAAATCAAATCATCATAATTGTATGAAGAAAAAATCACTTTCATCCGAAGAATCACCATGTTCATCCTCATCAATAAATTCATCATCAACACAAAGTTATCTTGATTCAAGTATTGAAAAAGTACGAAAAGATCTACATGATAGTATACGATTAAAACGTAATCAACAACAAACTAAAGTAAAACAATTTCTTCAAAGTCCAATAAAATCAAACAAACTACAACAGATACTTAATGATCCACCTGAAAATGAAAATGAATTCTATACAACAATATTATCGGAAGTTAATTCGATTTTAGTTCGAAATGGATCTGTTTCAACAAGTACACCTTTGTCAAAATCAAAACCAAGACATCCACGACAATTATTACGAACAGAGCAATCTATTTATATTCAACGATTAGCATCAAAATATTGTATGGATGATAATGATAATGATAATTATGATGATGGGGAAAATGATTTGAACAAAATTGATAATCATTATCCAACTAAGAAGACTAATGATCAAATAATTTTAGAATCAATACGAATGACTACTGGTGGATCAGCAATGAAAAAAGTACAAATGACGAAAAATAAACAACAACAATCATCACCAAAGATAAATTATCAAAAATTTCAAACCAATTATGATCGTTATGCTTTATCCGATCATAATAGTTCAATTGCAACACGTAATTATATGGATAAATATGGTCTACATATTGAAACGAAAAAGAAAACGAATAATAATCCTAAACATCATCGTTATAAGCCTATTATTCAATCGAATTTGATTGAAAATATTGCCAATAATGATAATGATAATGATGATGATGATGAAGAAAATTATCATGATGCTAAAGCTAATATGGAAACAGATAATCATCTACCACCGCCACCGCCAAGAGATCGTCTAATCGATTTAGATTTGGTAAAAAAATTACCCAAATTAAGATGACCCAGATTTTATTCAAAAAAAAAAAAATTTTTTATTTAATTTATTTATCAATTAATTGTTATGTTGATGATGATGATCATTATATATTTTAAATACATGGAAAAAAAAGTAAAAGTTTTTTTTTTGTTTTGCATCTGATTTTTTTATCTTATCAAAATGATAATGAGTGAATGAAAAGTTTATTTATTTTGTTTTCTCATCATTATTGTCAAATGTATGGTAGCCGTAGAAAAAGAAAAAGAAAATTATCGATTAATTAATGATTGATTGTAAAATTATGAAAATTACACATCTCACAATTTGTTTTTTGGGGGTAAAAAAACTGAATTACAATGTTTAGAAAAACGAAAGAAAATGTAAAGATTAAATGCCTCAGGTTTAGTTAATGTATTTGTGTGTGTTGTTTGTTTAAGTGTAAAGTGTGCAGAAAATGTGATGGTTATTATAAAAAAGCTACTGTGTGTGTGTGTCGTTGATGAAAAGGCAAGAAAAAAAGAAAGAAAGAAACAGTTGATACAAGAACGAAAAGAAGAAGAAAAAAAAAGATGATATAAGCAAAATCCTATACACAACTTCGAATGAAATTTGTAAAGAAAAAAACAATGATCAAAAATGAAAATATAATTATGTTTTTTGTTTAAACAGGCAATTTCAATGAGAGTGAGAGAAAAAAAACAGAAGAAACAAAAAAAATATTCAGCCCATTCTATTAAAGATGGATTTTCGTTTTTGGATTTGTTTTCAAATAAAAATTTGTCGGTTATGATAATGAATTTGATATATATTCGGCTATAGAATGTGTGTGTATGTGAATGTGTGTTAATTGTCAAGATTATTAAGAAAGATATTTTTTTTTTTTTGGTTCAATAAACAAAAATGGTTTTAAATAAAAAAAATGGAATGGGTTAAATTTTCAAATATAAATGTCTTGTTGCATTTATCCTTTTTGTTGTTTTCTTTTTTTTCCTTTTCCCATTCCGTTTGTTTAAAACAAACTAATTCGGTTGAACATAATGGTAACAAGGCCCATAATAATGTAAAGTAAAACATGGCAGCAATATGAATAGCTACTGATGGCAGCATTGACTTGAAAATCACGTCTTTTTGCCAATACTTTGTCAATAATGTGAATGACACCGTTTAATCCGTTAATATCCGAACTAATTATTTTGGCCCGTTGTCCTTCCCATTCGATATAAATATCGCGTGCTAAATAATTGTTTTTGAAAAAAAAATTTTCCAATTACAATATGTATCAAGCATAATATAATAGGAAAACTTACTTGTAGGATCAGGTGAAATAATTAGTTCACCTTGAACAGTTTCAACTTTTTTGATTGTTTGTTCCAAATCTTTTTTATTATATTGACCTTTAGCTGAAATATGGCGATCTAAAATCTGTTTCAAATAATTAAAAAAAAAATCATAAATCAATTTTTTCTATTAGATTATTTTTATACATACAGCTCGTGAAATGGCTGGATAAAGGCCCTGGTCAAGTTGTTTAAATTCAGATGGATTTGCTTTTTCAAATTCCATCCAGGCAGTATTCGATGGAGCAAAAAATGTATAACGTTTATTTTTATCCATTAATTTGGAATTCCAATTCTGTGTACCGCCTTGTGATCCAATTTGGAATGTTTCATTCAACATTGGATTATCGATTAATTTTTCGTAAATTGTTTTGAATGGCATTCCAAGAACACGATCAATAATATGTAATATACCATCGGATGCACCTAAATCGGATAACGATGATGTTGCATTCACTCCACCACTTTCAACTGTCAATCTTGTGTTATGTTCCATTCCAACTAAACGGAAAATAACAGGAACATCATTGGCCGATGTATAATTAGCGAATCCACCACCTACAAAAAATCGATATATTAAAATCACAATAAGATTACAAAATGAAAAAACAGCTTACTTTTTTTAAGATCACTAGATGATACTTGATGATATACAACATGATTTAAAAGCAATTTTTTCATTTCATCCGATTCTTCACCAGTACCAGCAAAATTTTGATGATTATCCATAAGATTAGTAAATGCATTATCATCAGGTGCCAATATAGTTTTGTTTGAATGTTTATCAATATCGCTCAATACATCTGGATGTTTTTCCAATAATTTATAGAAACGTTTCAATTTATTTTGTTCACGAAGAAAATCTCTAATAGCAATATCCATTAACATTAATGGTTTTTCAATAATATGAACAACACCATTTTTAACAGGAATATTTGCCATTATCATTCGACTTAATACACGACCAGATTTATGTATAGCATTACTTTTTATTGTATTTGTTTGAATATAATACATTTGTTCAATGTTAAATCGTACAGTTTTGTTAATGAATGAAAGTTCAACATCAACATTTCCTATTTAGTGTGGGGGGAGATATTTGAAAAGAATAAAAATCATAAATCAAAAAAAAACACATTATTGACATTTTTAAACATACCATCAAAAGCCATTGTATTATAGGTACGACGATCACCCATTGTTCGTGTAAATAATGATTTATCTGGAACAACATGAGATTGAATAACATATTGATCAAATTCTGGTGTACCACGGCTAGCCACTTTAGTTGGAATAAAAAATGTACCCGGTGTTGAAAATATTGATTCCAATTGTTTTTCCTGAATTTTTCTCAAAAATGATGACATATCAAATCTATCTAATCCATAGATTGATGGTTCTTTAAGCAATTCTAATGCAGTTGGTGCTGTTTGTCGATTTGGTTTCAATGATGAAAGTACTTCATCAATAATATAAACCGATTGATCTTCATTCGAACCTTCACCTTTCAAATCTTCAAATGCTTCCGAAACAAGAGCATTATTAACATAATATAATTTTTCATCCGGTTTAAGTGGATTATCAATATTTGTTAGAAAAAGTGGTGGATATTGTCCATTCAAAGCATTTGCCGGTGATGCTTCATTCCATGAATTACGTTTAATTGAAGCTGATACTAAATGATGACAACAAAATGAAAGAAAAAATCAATTAAATAACCTGTCAACACTCATTCTCATTCTCAAAAAACAATTTGGTGAATGCGTAAAAAATTGCTAATTTTAAAATTTTACTTCGGATATCCTCCTCTACACAAAAATGCTAAGAAAAAAAACTTTATCGATATGCTACAATAATTATCCACATCATTGTCTTATCATGATGATGATGATGTTGATGACAGAGACGATGGCGGCGGCGGCGGCGGTCAAAAATCATTCGACCATAAATATCATCACCACCATCATCATCGATGACAATCAAACGTAAAAATAACAAAGAAAGAATTCTTTCACAAAACCAAAACAAAAAAAAATGATCGGGTCATTACACCTGGGTTTTATCGATTTTCGAAAAAAAAATTTTCAAATCGAAAAATTTTCATTCGAAATAAATTATTCATTCAAATAGATTCTATATTCTTTCTTTTTTTGCTTGTCTAACGTTCATATTCTGTATATTATTTATACTAAGATCATTTTGGGTGTTGGCCATTATGCATGAATCATCCAAAATGATTCCAATAAATTATTCAACAACAAAAACAAATCTAGCCAATATAAACCAAACTTACCAATATGATATTTTAATAGATCTGAATTGAATGCATCCGATTGTTGTGAATTACGTTCCAAAAATGATTTTATAGCCTGATCATTTGGTACAAATATTGTTACTTTCCATGATTTAAACATTGATGGAAAAATTGAATCATTTTCAATCATTCGTTTAAACTAAACATAAAAAAGGAAAAAACATTAAAACATTAGTAATCAATTAATTGTCAATTTACAACAAAATCAAACCAATCAATCAGCTACAAAATATTAATCTGTTTTTAATTATGATTATAATAATAGTTTTCTTTGAAATAATCATGTAACACGCATATAACTTTCATAAACATTTCATTTAAAAAACAATTAAAATCAATTTATCATTGATAATAATAATGATAATTATCTTTTCAAACAGGTACGAAAACAAAACAATTGATTATTATCTTTCTTTCTTTGTAATGGATTTTCATTCATTCATTCAAAAAATAATAATCAAAAGTTTCTTTTTGCAAATGATTGGATATATAGAGGAGGGTTTAACAAGTTTTTTTTCCTATTCATCTTTCTGTAGTTATTAAAGAAAAAACCAAACATAATAATGGAATGATAGGTAAATGGAATGGATACCCAAACACTTCCTTTCAAAAGGTATTATCATCATCATCATGATAATCATCAAAACTGACGATTTTTGTTGTTGTTGTTGTTGATGACAACTTTTGGCTACGACGATTGTCCATTATTATAATGATCATCATCATCATAATTATCATCATTTTTTTCTGTCTGATATATAATGTTACCATCATCATCAATGATAATATCTTCTTCTTTTTCAATTTCTTTGCTTATCATCAAACAGCAAACATCATTATGAAATCAATCCTCCTAACAGAAAAACAACCAATGTGATTTTCAATATCCATTGAATTGATATTCACGATCATCATGAAATGATGATGATCACTGGAAATAAAAAATTTCCTATCAAATAATATATCAATTCCATTCATAATGATCAAACACGAATTTTTGGTTGTTATAGATCGACGACCTTTTTCATTCAATTCAATTCAATGTCTTTATTTCAATTCAATTCAATATTATCATCCATCCATCCATCCATTATTGTTTCAACCATCCAACCATTCAACTAACCGACCAACAAATCAGACAAAAAAAAAATAAACGATCATATCGATTTTTTTTGGCTGTTTTCCGTAGAAAGAAAGAATAGGAATTACATACTATTTTCACACACAAGGTTATTATTTTTTCAAGTTTTTATTTCTTTTCGCATTTTTTCTTCGCTATAGCCATAATTATGGTTAAATATCCTCTCTCTGGTATATCTCTCTTCGACTATTAAAACACCACCACCAACATACACACACACAAAATATTCAACTTTCAAATCTTATATGAATCTGATGAGGATGTTCATCAACAAAAACAAAAACAAAAAAAAACCGAATAAGAGAATAGCGCATTAGATTAACATTATTATTATTTTTTTAGCTGTCTTGATATATAATTGCTCACTTTATTCCCTCTCTCTCTCTCTCTCTCTCTCTCAGTTCACTCTTTTTAAATTGTTCTTCTTAAATCATTATCATCTTCGTCGTCTTCATTTTTTTTACGGAGGTGTCTAAACTTCTACCACCCCAATTTAATAGATAATATGGTAGTGGTGATGGTCATCAGGTTATCACCATCAGAACAGAACATCAATGCAATCCTAAGAATCCATATTTCTTTTTTAGGAAAAAAAAGTCAACCCAATATTCAAGACAAACAAACAAACAAACGAATTGCCACACACAAAAACCTGCACAATTATCATCCATTGATGATAATCATAAGGTCATGGAAATCTATCATCATCATCAAAACGTAGGACAACAAAAAAACCTGACAGATTTATTATCTGGTTATTATTCAAAAATACTATTTTTACCTAAACAAGATAGAAATAGAATTTGAAAATCTGATTGATTGATTGATTGAATGAATGAATGAAAATTGTTTGTGTGAAAATGAAAAAAAGGAAAAACTCAGGTTCCTGATTGTAAAGATGATAAAGTTTTGAAGAAAAAAAAACAAAAGGCCATGACCTATGACATGCGTATATCAAAACAGCCAGAAACAAATACTATGTGTTTTGTAAACTCAATACACTTGAGTTTCTCCAATCATCATCATCATCATTATTTGCTGTATAAAACAAACAAACAGCCAGAGAATTTGAATTTTTATCGATCATTTTCAAAAAATCAAATTCAATTTGATTTTTCCCCCTCCGAAAATGACAATTATCATATTTTATTTTACAAAAAAAAAACTTGACCAAAAAGATAAAATCAAAATTTGACCGGCGGGTGCGGTGTTTGTTGTTGTCAATACAAACCGGAAAAAAATTTCAAATCAAAAAACAACAACAAATATTTACTAAATCGATATTTTTCAATTCAATTCACTCTTGATTCTCTTGACGTTTTGCTTTCTGTTTATTCATTGATCTGACATTTGTCAGATTTAGGAAGAAGAAGTAAAAAAATTCAAGTGTATTCTTTGAATGCATGCATATTTATGTGTTTGAAATCCTGTTTGTCAAGTACGCGTTTTACTACTATTTTTTTTGCACACGCAACGGAAACGTTAAAAAATATTCAGCAACAACAATCAACCAAACTAAACTAAACCAAGCCAACAATTTGATTAAAATTGATAAAAACCGGATATTAATCATAATCAATTTTCAATGTCTTTTTGTATGGTGAATTCAAAAAAATTTCATTCCAAATGTTGCCTATTTTATTCAAAGAAAAAGAAATAAAATTTCACATTCATTCAATGTCATCATCATCTGTATTTGACCAATTTCATAGCCAAACACAAATACACAAACACACATCAATCAATCAATCAATCAATCGATAATTAATTAATTAATCAAATCAAATAAAATCCGTGCATGCATTCAATTTCATATTTGAATAAATTACTATCATCATCATCCAGAAATGAATATGCAATGTTTTTTTTTGTTTCTCATTATTATTGAAAATATACAACCCGTTTGAAATTTGATTAAAACTTTTCCATTCAAACGAAAAAACGTAATAAAAACGTAAACATCTTTCACCCATCTAAATACACCTCCGCATCAAAAACACTATCAATTTGATCACGATATTTTTCTCATTGAATATTTATGAAAAAAGCTTAAAAAACCAATTGCAATCACACACACACACCATATGCATAATTGGAAACCAGAAAAAAACCACATCATCATCATCAAATTCATCAGGTGCATTGTACCATCAATGCTATCAAAAAAAACTATTTGGATGGGGAAAAATTAGCAAAATTCAATCAATCAATGTTATTATCATTCATTCATTCATATAGCGGATAAATTAAATTTCAAAAACAATCAAAACGAAAACAAACAAACAAACAGAGCCCTGACTACACCCAAATGATCAATTTTCATTCACAGTACAAAATACTACACAAAACTATTACATAACAAACAAACAAACAGAAACAATCACATAACGATTATTTGAAATTGAAAGTGTCACCCAGGTGAACAACATTGACTTTCTCTCTATCTCTCTATATATATTCTGGAAAAATATTGATTCATTCATTCATTTTTTCAAACTAATCATCACCAAAACAACATAACAACGGAAATATGAATATTTTAAAAACTTTGTAAATCAGAGAAAAGATTTATACCAATTTAACAAACATCCGTGGTAAAAATCATATTTACCACCATTAGGGTGTTATAAAACAAAACAAAAGAAGAGATTATTAGTTTTCAAAGAAAACAAAACATAGAAATTTTTCCATATAATTTATTTGTTTGTTTGACATTTTGGAAAGCCGAAAAGAGAAAAAAATTTCTATTAGATTCCGCGTAACCATAGATACCGATATTTCATATCATATCGAAAAAAAGGGAGAGAGAGAGAGTCAAAAAAATTGATTCATGCAATCAAAACCAAACCAATCAATCGATCGATCGATAATGAACATCTGTCGATATGTCTGATGACCTAAAACTAATCAAAATTTTTCAAAAATAAAAATATTTTTCTTTCCCATCAATCAGATTCAAATGCTAATTAGTAACGATTGAATTCAATATAGTGAAACTAATCAGCTATTTTTAGAGTTAACAAAAATCAAATAAATCCTATCCAATCCTATTAAAACAGAGATAAAAACCATGAAATCATTATATAATCGAAATTTAGATTTTCCAAGTAATTTTAAAATAAAATAAAAAAACAAATTACAAACAAATTACAAATTACAAAACATACCATTGATAATTCCGGATTTTCTGAGATCACTTGTAATGCATTACGTTGTTGTATTGATGCTTGTATACCAACAATATTAATATTAATATCAATCAATATAAATAATAATATTGATAATATTGATAATAAGCTATTCATTTTATAATTATTATTATTATTGATGAAATTTGGTAAGGCCAAAGTTGAATTAAAACGACTACGACGACAACGTTTCAAACGTTCATTTCGATGTTGTTGTTGTTGATATTTATAATTATTTTTTAAATTATCATCATTATTATTATTATTATGGTTGTTGTTGTTAATGAAATTATTGATGCTATAATCATTTGAATATTGTTGATTCATTTGTTGTTGCTCATCATGGTGATGATGATGAAATAGTTGATTGGAAATATTATTTTTACAATGATCATTGGAAATGATCATCATGGGATTGTTTCGTATTCTTTCCCGTTTATTATTATTGTCGTTGTTTTCAATCATTTTCTATATTCAATTGAATGGATGAATATTTGTCGTTGAAAAATAGTTTTCAGATCTTCTTGTTTTGATCGTCGTCGTTTGTTTTTGTTTTGTTTTAGCTAATAGCAATTGACATTACAATTTTGGATGACAACAAAAACAAAAACAACAGCACACTTCACTTGATGATGAAAACAAACAAATAATAGTTGTTGCCCAAGTTTAATCATTTTGATGATGAAATATGAGATGAAATCATTCGAACATTTCGGGAACCGAAAACAGGAAAAAAATGGAACAAAACAAAACAATTTAATTTTCAATGATTAAACGGGTGAAAACAAAATCCATGGATAGAAAAACAAAACTTACCCGAAATTCAATTTCCGGTACGATATTAATTGGAAAAAATCAAATCAAATCAAAATTGATTGATTGATTGATTGATTAGAGTCGATTATGATTGACAACAACATCAACATCAACAAGATTCTAGGTTCCAGGAACGGTTGTAGTAGTAGCAAAAGCAACAGTAGGAGAAGAGGAACCCGAGAAACTCAAAAACTCAAAAAAATGTTTCGGACGATTCGAATTCAGAAAAAAAATTTCACTTTTCGGAAATCGGTTGAAAAAAAACAATTAAAAATGAGAACAAAAAATCGTTTTAAAACAAAAAGTTATCATTCGAAACAAGCAAACAAAAAGGCGACTTTAAATCATCAGAAAAGCAAGAAAAAAAATGAAAAAAATAAATTAAAATTCGTTATCCAAATTGGATGATGATGATCGAAGACAAGACAAGACCACTACCCCAATGGATCACAATGAAGAAAAAAAAAACTATGGCCGATTTCTGTTTGCCGCACTGAAATTCTATCTCTGGTTACTCTCTATCTCTCATTGGCGGTGCTGGAAAATATCATTAGCCACGACCATCGCCGAATACACACACCGATAAACTACTACCACAAAAAAAATCATCGATTGACCAATTATCATCTTTCAACGGTGGTGGTAGTAGTGGTAATACCATCCTGTGGAATATGACAACCGTCGATTTTTTTTTTTGAAGAACCAAAAAAAAACCGGCCCTCTTCCTCACCACGTTGTTTGAATTGGAAAGTTTTTTTGGAACTTTTGGTTCAGACACACGGACGGGAGTGTGTGTATGTTTGTTTCGAACACTTTCAAACGTTCGAAACTACAGTGATGATACGAATATTCTTGGTTTGTTTGGGGAATTATTCATGAATTTTTTTTCTTTGATTTTTACATTTTCTATTTGCAAAATTCAAATAAAAAAACTTGTTTGTTTGTTTTTCTTCCTGCCATTCATTAAACAAACAACAAACTAGAGATATGCAAATGAACTCATTGATAAATTCTATGAATAAATTGAAAAAAACAAACAGAAAAACCTAATCAACATCAGAATTGTCATTGAAAAAAGTAAAATAAAAAAAACGAAAACTGATCAAAAACACACACATTGAATGTCGAAGATTGACCATTCATTTGATGCTTTTCCCCCTCCTCCCGAAAAGAAACCTGTCTTTGTCGACGAAAACAATTTCAAGAAATAAGAATTTCTCTTGATAACGAACAAGACAATCAAGGTGTGTATGTGCTACTAGCACACCTATACCCAACCTTTTTTTTCTGGGAAAAAAAAGTGGGGTGGGGGGGATAAAACACACGCGATTCTTGTTGCACAATCAAGGTATTTTTTTTGTTTTCTTGCAATAAAATGAATTTTTTTGAATTAATCATCATCATTATCATCAACTACGCATGTCTAAGTTTTATTACAACAAAAAACACCGCCATTATAAAAACAAAAAAATTACAAGTGTTTCCCGCCTTTATCGTTTTGGTATTTATGAGGAGGGAGGGTGTGTTTTGTTCGGTGCTGCGTTCGAATTTCTTCATCAATCAATCAATCAATGCGCCATCTCGTTTTTGAAAATGAAACGAATTTTTTTTTAATTTTTTAATTTTCCAGGTGATGCTGAGGATGATGCAAAAAACCAGAAAAAAATTTCTGGATTTTTCCGATAAAGAAACAAAAAACAAGGAAAAAAAAAATTCAGAAGTTTTCGTCTTTGGAGGCGACGGGTATCGATCCCGCTACCTCTCGCATATTAGAATTTTTTTTTTTGAAAAATTGCTAAGCGAGCGCGCTACCATCTGCGCCACGCCCCCATAGAACGATCCGGATATCCTCCCCGTTCGTTCCAAACCTCTTCATTTTCATGGAAACATTCGATTTTTTTAACTTTTTTTACAAAAATTCGAATGATTTTTTTTTTGTTTCAGATTTTACAAATTGTAATTTTTTTTATTTTTTTTTATTTTAAAAAAGATTATTATTATTCAAAATCTTCTGTACAACGTATTGTATGATATAATTTTGCTTTTCCTTCACGTAATTCATCATTCCAACGACAAATTTCATCCGGTGTTGATGGTAAATAACTAATAATAACTTTATTAAGATACAAACCACTTGATTTTAAACGTATTGTAATATTTCGACATGATAATGGAAATCCACCACGTTCCACTGTGTTTAAAATGTGAAAAATCAAATTTTCATCCTTGACATCAAATCAAACAAACAAAACAACTTACAATCAGGTTTAAAATTATTACAAAAATCTAAATATTTTGTTTTTTTATGATCTGAACGTGAATTTCCTTGTATATAAAGATGATCATTTCCACACTAAATTTTCAAGAAAAAAAAATTCATTTTAATTTCAATTTAAACAAAAAAAAAAATCAAAATTACTTACATTTGGTCGTACACTATCATCATCTGGAGCCTGAAAAATTGGATCTGGTTTACCAACCTGTAAATAATGTATTCGAAATGATGCTGTAAATTTTTGTTTTTGTTGTTTAATTAAAAATAATGAACATGTTCGTGCTCTATTAAGTTCATAATTTTGTAATGTATATGAATAAAAATATGGACATTTTTGATTATCATTAATTGAATCTAATAATAATGCATGACATGCTATATAAAAATTGGAAGTAAAAAAAATTAACCCTTCAACACATCATTATTTTACAACAAAAACTTACGTTGTTCATTTTGTTTAAATAATAAAAAAAATGAAAAACTATGTGTTTTTTGTGAATAAAAACGATAATCAATTTGTGCAAAATTCTGTGCTGAATGATATGATTGAAATTTTAATTCTAAATCAGTTTTACAAATATTATCACTAAAACGATCTTCATAACTTAATGGATGATCACTTGTATATGGTAATATTTCACCAACATTCCAACCATCAAACCAACGTATGAAACTTGAACTTGGACAATTTAAATTTATCGGTTGTATGTAGAAGGCAATAATTTTTGTTGGATCGGGTGTATAAAATTTTATCGTACCAATTTCACCATACATATTTTCATCCGGTGTTATTGTATAATGTCCTTCAACAGTTACATCGATAAATTGTTCTTTCCGTTGTTGAACAAACAATCACAAAAAGGTTACTTTGGTTATGGTGAAGGGTTAAAAACACTTACTTGATGGAAGTATAAATGATGGCATTGGATATGGTGATTTTTCTTCACGTAAAATATCTTCATCATTTGGTTCATTTGTATTTGGTTTATCTGGATCTAAAAATTCCCAAATATCTTCATTACAATTGATTAATGTAATAAGTAAAACATTGATCTGGATTAATGATTTTAGCATTTTTCACAATGTAAAATCCAGAAAATTAACCCCGAAGTAGAACAAACAGGAAAATCAATAAAACAACAACAAATAACACTGTAAAATTGTAATATTTTCATAAACTTTTATAAGCGAGTTTTTTTTCGAAGTTATTTTTAATTTAATTTTTTATTTATTTTCTTGTAATATTATTCAACAATGTTAATTATTTTAAAAAAAAAATTTACAAATTTTGTAATTTTTTCTTCCCCCCCCCAGTATTCAAACTGAAAAAATTTCACCAGATGGATTTTCATAATGAAATTCTGGACGCTTACATAATGGTGGATGTGCTTGATAAAATTCCCATGCCCTTAGTACACCTGGATCATTTGGTACTAATTCTTTTGATTTTAATGGTACGACTGTTACTTCGATTGATGATGGTTCAACTTGTGTTGTTTCAGCATTTGGTGATTTTTTCAACGGTGCAACCAATTCAATACCAACATTCCAACACCAATGTACTTGAAATGCAACTAATTTGATTTGGAAATCGATTATCAATCAATCAATCAATTCAAAATTTTTTTTATAAAAAAAAACTTACAATTTTTTCTCTGATCACCACAAAGTTCAACACCACGCATATGATGTTCTTTAAAAAAATATTTAACATCATGATTACCAATAATTCTTATATAATATTTTGCACCATGTTTCGTACACTGGGGTTAAAAAAAACATTTTTGTAAATTTTTTTTGTAAAACTTTTGTAAATTGTATACATACCGAATCATCCCAATCATAAATATGTTTATGTAATGATTTTTCCGGTATTTCATATTTAGTAAAATGTATATCTAAACCACTATAATCACTTTCATCACGTACATGATCGGGATATGGATTCCATGGTACAAACATTATATATGTTGTACAAATATAACCATCATGATTATTATTTATCATACGAAAATTTATATGTTTTTTTTGTTTGAAAACATCATCAAGAAAATATATTTGATCACAGGCTATATTTGGAAAAGTTAAAAATCAAAAGAGTCAAAAGTCAACAGTCAAAAGTCAGAAGTCAGAAGTCAAGTTCAAAATTTGATTATCCAGAAGAGAGAGACTTACGTTCAGGATTACGTATAAAACGTAATGAAAATTGAAAATCTTTATTCCAACCTTTACCTTTTATACGATATTCTAATTGACCAATATTTTGTGATAAAAATATTTTTTCTCTTGTCCTTTTACAAAGATTATAAATACGTGATGTATAATTTTTTATTGAATCAAATGTACGTGGTATAACTAGACGATCAACAAAACGCCAACCATCAAACAGACGTAAATATTGATTATTATTTATTTTATCATCATCATTACAAGTAAATTTTATATGTATAATTTCTATTTGTATTAATTGTAATGATTTTGGTGCCATTATATAAAGTATACATAGTTTATTATAATGTTCGCGTGATACACCAAGTGAATAATAACCACTTTCATTAATTGTTTGTTTACAAGCTAGTTGGAAAAAGTAAAAGTAAAAAGTTATTTTACAAGAAAAGTTACAAAAGAAAAATGAATTTTTACAATTATAATCTAATGATGTTGCTAGACCAGGTGTACGACGTTTATACGAACAATAAGCAATATCTTCATTTGGATTATCATCCTGATTATTATCAGTTTGATTAGCTGTTGGTTGTAATTGTGAAATTTCACCTTCAAACATTGTTGTTATATCAAATTCAATAAAATTATAATATTCAAAACTTGAACGTAAATTTATGGCCGAATTTGGACATAATATTGTAAAGTTATCTAGTTATTTGGTTTTTGTAATTGTAAACAACGGAAAAGAATTTTGTAATTTTTATAAATTTTGTTACAAATCAAACAAACACATACGTGGTGGCGGTACATTCAATGCATTACAAAATTCAAATGCATGCGGTTTCAATTGGGCTGTCATACCGAATTTTAGACCACCTTCCAACTGTATTAAATCATTTTGACTTTGTAAATATCCACATCTATTTGGCTGTTAAAAGAAGTAATATTAGAATTGGAAATTTACAAAGGGAAAAAATCGATATTAGAAAAAACAAACCAAATCTAATCGAACAAGATTTTGTTCCAAACTAGTCAATTGTGACATTGGTTTACCAATTGAATAATTATATAAATGAAATTTTAACCCGATAAAATTTGATTGTATCCAAGGTAACCGGGGAAAATAAAATGTACAATTTATATGTACATTATAGCTTAATAATAATAATCGTTCGGTTGTATAACGATCTTCCGTATTGATTAGATAAACTTGATTACAAACTGGTTATAATAATGGGTTATAATCTTTTTAGTAAATAATTTGTAATATAACTACAACAACAGCAGACTTACAAGTTGGTTCGAATATAAATTTAACTGTAAATGCAAAACCCGGTGGTATTGGTGAATCATATAAAAATGTTTTTGTAAATGGTAAATAAAAATCAATTTCGGCAATATTTTGTGATGATACAAAATAACGATCACCATTTTTTTTACATAATGGTATTTCGGTTAATGTTGTTTGCGGCTGTTGTTGTTGCGTTGATTGATCATCTAAAAATATATTCGGTATATTTTCACCATCAATTGTCCAACCATCAATACCGGCAATATAATCTTCAGTACGATAATCACGACAATAACCTAAAATATTTATATTTATTTCCATTATTTTTATTTCAATTATATGTTTAATCGGTGCTAATATTAATATTTTACAATTTTCATCAATATTATTTGGATCAGTTGCTGATACTAGATGATAACCTTGATTTCTAATTAAATACCAGCAATCTAAATAGAGAAATCAGTGTTAAAATGAAAAGTTTTTACCTGGATTTTAGTTAAAGAAAATGAAGAAAATGAACTTACTTGGATCTGATTCATTACGTTCAGGGTTTGTTAACTGTACAGGTACATTTGTAACATACATTGATTCATTTGAACATTGTAGTTTATATGGATTTTTCTGTCTTAAATAATCGGTTGTCCAAAATGATTTCGATGTTATTGATTTATAATGTAATTTTATATGTTGTTGTGAATACCAAATTGCAATACGTACAACAACATTTGGACATTGAATAAATATTGGTTCAGCATAATAATGTTCATTACATAATTCAATCCATGTATGCATTTTTTCCGTATAATAACCTAATAATGCTGGGCCAAATCCACCGATTTGTACAAAATTTTTAACACCATGACACTATTTTGGGGGACAAAAAATTTATCAAAAAAAACAAAACAAAAAAAACCACTACTTACATAAAATGGGTATGGTACTCTAGTTTTAGTTTGTTTATCACCAATATCAAATTCATTTATAGTAATTTTCATACCAAAAAAATTTCCTTTATTCCATTTAGGTGATTGTATAATATATAATGAACAAATTCTTTGTAAATTTATATTATCATTTGTATATTCATGCACACCGTGTGTTGTTTCTGAACCGGCTATAAATACATCACATAAATTATTATTTTCAACAAATGTTAAACGAAATTTAAATTGTCCAACAGTATGTTTAAAACGATATGTAATCATAGCACCATTTTGTGATGATATAAATGTTTTATGTCCAATATAATGATCATTACAAATACGATCATGTAAATGATATATTTTTTTATTCATTGGATATATTTGATCATACCATTGCCAATAATCATTTGTTTCAATATAACTATTTTCATTATCACAAGGACTATTATTATCAAGAAATTCTACGAAAATTAATTTATCTGTATGTCCCCATAAATAAATATGACATTCAAAATCTAAATGTTTTTCGGTTATATATACTTGATATGTACCTTGTAATGATGCAAGTACATCACAATCTGAATGAGGAAGGTGGGGGTGGGAGGAGGTGGAAAAAAGTTCATTTTTAAAATTTGTAATTTTTGTTTTGTAAAATTTTGAAAAAATTACAAACCATCATCACCATGTCCAATTATAAAATCAGCATATTTAATATCACCTTGTTGTAATAACAATATTTTATAAAAATTTTCTTGTAATATTATTATTAATAAAAAAATATTGAAAACTAATGATTTATCTGCGGAAATCATTATTATTTTTATTATTTTGTTATAAAAAACACAAATTACAAAACATGCAAATTACAAATTACAAAAAATGCTGTGAAAAAATAATATTCTTGAACTTTTTTCTTTGGAAGTAAAAAAAATCACAAATCAAACACACACACCGTTTCACATTGTTCGCGATTTTGACTCTTTTAAAGAAAAAAATTACAAATTCGAAAAAGGAAAATTTTTAATTTAATTTTTGAACTTTTTTTAAAAAAAATGTTTTTTTTTTATTTTTTATTTTGGTTTTCGGTTTTTTTTCTGGTTAAAGAGTTATCATTTCATTCGGTTAGTTAGTTAGTTGGTCAAAAATCAAAAGTCAAAAGCCAAAAAAAATCATGATTTCAATCAGGGATCAACAAAACGTACTTTAAATTCAAAATCATTATTCCAATCTTTACCTTCAATTCGATATTCAATTTGACCAATTGAATCCGATAATCTAATTGGTGTATTTTTTCTTTTACACATTGGATAAATATGTTTTTCTATTTCATCATATGTATTATAAATTGGTAATATTGTAAAATTTCCTTTCTTCCAACCATCATAAATTCTTAAATAATTTCCATTATTACTATTACTACTGCTACTATCATTACATTTAAAACGTATGGAAATTATTTCAATTTCAGCTTTTTGTTCCTTATTTGCACCATATATATAAAGATCACAATCTTTTTTTATATTATCGATTGAAGCGCCTAATGAATAATGGCCAGTTGCATTTATAACTTGCATACATACTGTTTGTAAAGAGGGGGAAGAAAGTTTATAAATTATTTGTAAAAAACAAAGCAAAACACAGTAACTACTAACCATGATAATCTAATGATATAATTAATTGATCTGAAACTGGCCTGGTACCACAATAAGCAACATCTTCATTAATTTTTTTTTTGGTTGGTTGTTCACCTAAAAATAATGTTGTTACATCGAATATAATAAAATTATCATATTTAAAACTTGATTGTAAACTGAATGCCGAACTAGGACAGATTATTGTTATTTTATCTATAAAGGAGGAGGGATTTTAGAAGAAAAAAAGAATTCCTGTGAGAAAACAAATGATAAAATCAACAATACACATACGTGGTGGTGGAACATCCAATGCATTACAAAATTCCAGACCATATGGTTCAAGATTGGTTGTCATACCGAATTTTAAGCCACCTTCAATCTGTAATAAATCATCTTCACTATGCAATCGCTTGCATCTGTTTGGCTGGTGTGGGTGGTGAGGGTTAATTTTTTGTAGAAAAAAAGAAGTGTTTTTTAGAGAGGAAAAAGCAAAATAAGATAAAATATACTAACCACATCCAAAATAACAAGATTTTGTTCCAAACTACTTAATTCGGATATTGGTTTACCAATAGAATAATTATATAAATGAAATTTTAACCCTATGAAACCGGATTTAATCCATGGTAACCGTGGGAAATAGATTGTACAATTTTTACGTAATTTAAAATCCATTAATATTAGACGATCGGATGTATAACGTATCATTGAATTGATTAGGTAGACATCGTTACAAACTTTGGGGAACAAGAAAAAAAAGGTTGTAAATTTGTAAATTTGTAAATTTTTTGTAATATTCAAAATATTTGTTGTTGTAACATACGATTTGGTTCGAAAAAAAATCTAACTGTAAATGCAAAACCGGGTGAAATTTTTGAATGATAATTAAATTTATCATTTTGTGGTATATAGAATTCAATTTGCGCAATATTCTGTGCTGATTGTATAAAACGATTACCATTTTGTTTACACATTGGTAATTGATCCATTTTACGATTCGGTATGAATTCATTTTCAAATGTCCAACCATCCGTAGCTGAAATGAAATCTATTTTTTCATAATCATCACAATGATCATTTTCATTTATATTTATATCAATCATTTCAATTTGTATAAAATGTTTTAATGGTGCCAGTATGTATATTTTACATTTTTGTTTTAAATTCATTTCATTTAATGTTGATATTGAATGATAACCTTGATTACGTATTAAATACCAGCAATCTACGAAGTTTAAGAAGTTAAAAAGTTAAAAGTTTTTCTCTAAAGTCATCCTTGGTTATTCAAAAAGTAAGCTCACTATTTTCATCCCTTAAAAATAATGGTGTCGGCATTTCGGGCATTTCAATCGAATCAATTGTACATTCAAATTTATATGCATTTTGTTTAAATAAATAATCAGTTGCTAAAAATGAATTTGTTGTTAATGCTCTATAATGAAATTTTATATATGGTTTTCGTTGTTGATTATATGATATTAAACGTACAACAACATTTGGACAAATAATATAAAGACGATTTGGAAAATAACGTTCATTACAAATTTCAATCCATGTTTGCATTTCATCTGTACTATAGCCGGATAAACCGGGTCCAAAACCACCAAATTGTACAAAATTATTAACACCATGACACTATTGAGGGGTGATGATGAAAGTGTGTTGAAAAAATGTTTTAAAACAACCAACGTTACAATACTTACATAATATGGATATGGTATATATGTTTTCGTTTTAGTATCACCAACATCAAATTCATCAATAGTTAACATAATACCTAAAAAATTACCTTTATTCCATTTAGGTGATTGTACAATATATAATGCACAATTTTTATCATTATTTTTCAAACGATATTCACCATGTGTTGTTTCTGAACCGGCAACAAATATTATACATGGTTCATTATTAGGTATAAATTGTAAACGAAATTTAAATTTTTCATCCACTATTCTTCTATAACGATATGTAATCATAGCACCATTTTGTTTGGATTGAAATTTTTTCCTATTCCAATAATCATCATTACAAATTCTTTTAGTTTGTTGATAAATTTTTGCATCCATTGGATATACCTGTTCATACCATGACCAATAATCACGTATCATAATAAAACTATTACGATTATCACAAGGACTATTATCATCAAGAAATTCAACAACAATCAATGAATCAATTGGTGCCCATAAATATATTGTACATTCAAAATCAATTTTTGTTTTCATTGGTTTGACTTGATAATTTCCTTGTAATGTAACTAATATATCACAATCTGTAATAGGATTGCAAATAGATTACTTAATGTTATCATTGATCATCATGATTAACCAAACTTACCATTTTCACCTTCACCGATAATAAAATCTGGATATTCAATTTTACCCTGTTGTAATAACATTCCTTGTATTTTATGGAAATTTTCCTGTAATAAAACAATTATTAGGAAAATGTTGAACAACGATAAGGATTTTTCAAACAAAATCATCGTTGCTGATGGTGTATTTGAAAACCAAATAGGAATGAATAATGTTATTCGAAAATGGCAAAAATATTACTTGGACTTTTGCGTAAAACACACCGAACAAAAACCAAAATCCAAACGACAAAATCAAAAATTCAATCTCGTAATTCCACATTTAAATATTGTTTTTATTCACATTTTAATTATAAATTAATTACAAACAAAAATTAACTTAAAAATTTTTATTAATTAAAATCAAATAGAAAAATAATAATAAGAAGAAAAAAATGAAAATAATTTTAAACACTCCAAGGGGTTAATAATCATCAAAGATGATTGAATTTTTTTTAACCAGGCCTCTGAAAATGATCTATTATTATTGGTGTTGTTGGTATTTTTACCTTATTCTGTACATCATCATCAGCATTAAGAAAAAATAATAAACCTTTTTTCGTAATGGTTGGTTTTTTTAATTTTGATTTTGTCCATTTTGGTCGTTGACATAAACGATAATATGGTATATGTTCACCGAATGGCATTGTCGGTGATGATTGTACACTGCGTATTGGTTTTAATTTAAATTCTAAATGATTTATAAATTGTCCACTTGATATCATACGTACAGCCATATTACGACAATATCTAATTAAATATTGCACTGTAAATTTTTT